AAAATGAGTGAGAATAATGACAGGATTCACTATTTTTTTTTTTCTTCTCTGAACCAGGGTTTCTCTGTGAAACAGTCCTGGCTGTCCTGGAACTCATTCTGTAGACCAGTCTGGCCTCCAATTCACAAGAGATCCACCTGCCTCTGCCCCCCAAGTGCTGGGATTATAGGATTCACCTCTTAAAGTGGTTATGAGAATTATGACTGGGGATGTAGCTCATTTGTTATAATAATAGAGTACTTGTTGGATATACTCAAAGCTCTAGGTTGAATATGACTCAGGCATCCTAGTGATTGCTGTAGACCAGATCCTAGAGCCAGTGAATACATTGGTTCGTCAACCAGGTGCTCAAGCCTTATGTGCGTAGGGCTGGGGCTGCCTGTAAGGGAGAAAAGGGCTGAACAGATAAAGTTTCTGCTGGGCTCAGCACCATGAAATGCCTTTTAAAAATTAGTTTATTTTTATTTTATTTGCATTGGTGTTTTTTCTCCTACATGTATGTCTGCGTGAGGGGTCAGATCTCGGAGTTACAGACAACTGTGAGCTGTCATGTGGGTGCTGGGAATTGAACCTGGGTCCTCCTGACTGCTGAGCCATCTCTCCAGCCCCCATGAAATGCTCTTAGTAGCTGTCAGAATATGCAGTGACAGTTTCTATTCCTTTGGAATAGTAAATGCCTTCGATCCTTTCATTTTTATTTTTTTATTGGTGCGTATAGATTATAGGCACGCACTCTATCACTGAACTAGACCACACTGGCACTGCCCTTTCAATGGCATCCAGGTTGTCATCAGTAAAAGTCTATTCTGAAAGCTAGAGTTTCAATATACACTTAATTTTGACAGAGGAGGGAGGCAGGTCCTCATGTAGCCCAGGCTGGCCTTAACTTACTATGGAGCCTTGAACTTCTGATCTCCCTATCTTTGTTTCACAAGTATGGGGATCACAGGTTTGCTGCTACTGTTTCTGCTTCAGGGTAGAAATATTTTTTTTGTTGTTGTTGTTTTTTTTTTTTTTTTTGTTTTGCTTTGTTTTTCGAGACAGGGTTTCTCTGTATTGTTTTGGAGGCTGTCCTGGAACTCACTCTGTAGACCAGGCTGGCCTCGAACTCACAGAGATCCGCCTGCCTCTGCCTCCCAAGTGCTGGGATTAAAGGCGTGCGCCACCAACGCCCGGCTTCAGGGTAGAAATATTAATACAAAATTGTTCTATTGGGTTTGAAATCCATTTGCATTACCAGATGAAATGACATTACATTTGTCAATAAAAGGAAAAGTTGTTTGATTCTTTAAATAAAACTATAATTGTAAATTTTGAATGGCCCTGCAAAGTGGTTTTAAACGTTTTATCATCCACTTATGTGATCAGAGTCCCTCAGTGATAACGAGGATTCAGAATATGAGGAACGCATCATTAAAAAGTCTGAATCAAAAACTTCGTAAAGCCATTCCAACCATAAAACTCAATACTAAGACATAGTCATGGGACCAAGTTCAAAGTGATCATTAAAATAATGGAAATTTTTATTTCAAAGTTTTATGCAAATTTCATGTGCAATATCTTCCCTAATAATTTGCTTCTTTTTAAAATCACAATTATATAAAGAAAATGTTATGAAAACTTTAAATCAGCCATTACTTAGATGGCTCCAAATCACTTGTGGCTTACCCTAGTGTGCTTTAAAAAATGGTTTCTAAGTTCAGGATCACCCTCATCTACACTCTGAGTCAAGGCCAGCATGGGCTACATAAAAATCCTACCTCAAAATTTTTTCTTAAATTATTTTCTAGGTTTGATAGCAAATGCCTTTCATTCCAGAATTTAAGAGGCAGAGGCAGAGACAGGCCGGGTGTTGGTGGAGCACGCCTTTAATCCCAGCACTCAGGAGGCAGAGGCAGTCGGATCTCTGTGAGTTCAAGGCCAGCCTGGTCTACAAGAGCGAGTTCCAGGACAGTCCAAAACAATACAGAGAAACCCTGTCTCGAAAAACCAAAACAAACAAACAAACAAACAAAAACCAAGCATAGAAAAACACCTGGCCATGGTTGCTTACTTTGCCAGCTTGCAATGCAGTGTGAACTACAGGCAAGGACTATATAGCAAGACCCGGTCTGGTTTTTTGTTTTGTTTTGTTTTTTGAAACATGGTTTCTCTGTGTAAAGGCCTTGGTGGTCCTGGAACTCACTTTGTAGACAAGGGTGGCCTCGATCTCTAAGTTCTGAGTGCTGGAATCAAAGGCTTGTGTCAGGTTTAAGACCCAGTCTTTTTTTTTTTTTTTTTTTTTTTTTTTTTTGGTTTTTTGAGACAGGGTTTCTCTGTATTGTTTTGGAGGCTGTCCTGGAACTCTATAGACCAGGCTGTCCTGGAACTTACAGAGATCCGCCAGCCTCTGCTTCCTGAGTGCTGGGATTAAAGACACATGCCACCAATGCCTGGCGACAAGACCCAGTCTTAAACACAAAACCTCACTGGTAGTGGTGGCCTACACCTTTGATCCCAGCATTTCTGAAGGCAGAGGCAGGTGAATCTCTATGAGTTTGAGGCCAGTCTGATCTAGAGTGAGTTCCAAGGCAGCTAAGCTGTTACACAGAGAAACTCTTGTCTCAAAATTAATACAGTTCAAAGAGTGAGATAAAAAAATTATTGATTAGGCCAGGCAGTGGTGATGTATGCCTTTAACCCCAGCACTTGGGAGGCAGAGGCAGACAGATCTCAATGAGTTGGAGGCTAGCCTGGTCTACAGAGCAAGTTCCAGGATAGACTCCAGAGCTATACAAGGAAATCTTGCCTTGACAAACAAAAACAAAAACCTTGCCTCCCCCCCCAAAAAAAGCTGACCATGAGTCAGAGAAGAGGCCTGTAAGCAAGCAAAGATCATCGCTGGTTTCTGCTTCAGGTCCTACTCTGACCTTTCAATGGTGGCCCATGACCTGGAAGTAAAAAATGAATTTACTCTCCTAAATTGCTCTTGGTCATGGTATTTATTACAGCAGCAGAAAGCAGACTAGAAACAGGGTATCTTGTAGAACAGAGTGGCCTCACCTTGTCCTTTGCATCTGTGGATGTCTTTGAACTTTTCTGAGACATGGTCTCATTGCACAGCTGTCTCTCTTGGAACTAGCTGTGTAGACCAGGCTGGCCTGGAACTCACAGAGATCCTTTTGAATCTGCCTTCTGATTGCTGGGATTAAAGGGCTCAGGCACCGCAGGGCTGTAGAGGCACAAGCCTTTAATCCCAGCACTCTGGAGGTAGATTCAAAAGACCTCTGTGAATTCTAAGTCAGCCTGGTCTGTTGAGTGAGTTCTAGGACTGTCTCCATAGCCACTGGGAAACCCTGTCTCGAAAAAGCAAGGGAAAAAAAAGTCTCAGGTACCACATCTGGCTGTCCTCAACGGTCTGAATCTTCCACTTGTACCCCACAAATGCTAAGATTGGGGGCTGTGTCACTCTGCCCAGTTTGAGGAAATAAGGATCCAGGCAAAGGCCTCACACATTCTAGGCAAGCAAGTTACTACATACCTGAGTCCATTTCCTTCCTTCCCTCCCTCCTTCCCTGTCTCTCTTTTTTAAGAAAGTTTCTCTGTGTAGCCCTAGCTGTCCTAGAACTTGCTCTGTAGACCAGGTTGGCCTCGAACTCAAAAGAGATCCACCCCATAGATGCCACCACCTGAATCCACTTCCAGTCTCTCACAGGGAAGGACAGATAATTACAAAGAAGTTTGTTTTGCTATGCAAAATTTACATTAAAATAGACAATTTGTTGCAGGAAAGGGCTTGTCAGTTGTGCTTTTCTGTCCGCCAGTAATTTTATTTAAAGAGATTTGCAGATTTTTGTTTTGAGACAGGGTGTTACTATGTAGCATCGGCTACCTGGAACTCCAACCCTGTAAGTCAGTGGGCTAGAGGTATGCCATACCACACCTGTTGTCATGGGCGTTGGAGGATCATCTAATCCCAAATTCACTTGTATTTGAAAAACTAAAAGTCCAAATGCCTTCAAATCCCTTAGCCAGGTCGATAAAGGATTCGAGTTCGATTTCATTCATGTGCTTCACAATAATACTTCAAACAGATGTCACTTTAAAAAGCTACAAATCACTAGCCAACAGGTAGCCGATTTGGCCACCAAACCTTTTTAGAAACTGGAGCTGGGTGGTGGCGGCGAACGCCTTTAATCCCAGCACCCGGGAAGGTAGAGGCAGGCGGATCTTCGGAGTGAGTTCCAGGACAGTCTCCAAACCTGCAGAGAAACCCTGTCTCGAAAAAAAAAAAAAACACACACAAAAAGCCAACGACAAAAAACCCTTTGAAATGGTTGTATTCTCTGTGCCCAAAGTCTCAATTCTTTAGAGTCGCCTATAGGGGAAGTCTCACTAAGCCAGCCGCGTTTTCCCGCTCCGGCGACATGCCGGATTTAGGAGCGTCAGTGCCGCAGGGCTTGCAGCGTGGGCCTCCCGAGGGGACGGCGCCGTCACACTCCTCACACACGCCCCGGGCCCCCAACGTTTAGACTCCCGCGAGGGCGGCAAAGGGGTTATCGGGCTTTCTTGTAACCTTAAGTGGCAGGACAGAAAAGCGCGGTTTCCCTTTAGATACCGCAGTAGGGTGAACTGGGAAATGGAGACCCACGGGCTGGCGGGGAGGGGCGTGAGGCGCCAAAAGAAAGGGAAAGGCCCTTTCTCTAGGATGACGCGCGGTCACGCGGCTTTCTCCCGACGTGGGCGCCCGCCATTGGTCGAACTGCCATCGACGTGCCTGACGCTGCCTGGCGCGAACCGCGGCGAGGGCGGCGCTGCGTTGGAAGTTGGTGCGGCGCGCGCGCTCCCGCGGCTCGACCAATCCCCACCCTCCGCTCTCGGCCCGCCAACCCGCTCGTCCAGTCGCGTTCCGCTTAGGCATGACTCCGCCCCCGGTGGGCGGGCGGCGCGCGGAAAGCGCGTCACGTGATGACTAGCCCCGCCTCTTCCTCTCGGTCCCATATTGAACTCGAGTTGGAAGAGGCGAGTCCGGTCTCAAAATGGAGGTAAAACCGCCGCCCGGTCGCCCCCAGCCTGACTCCGGCCGTCGCCGCCGCCGCCGGGGGGGAGGAGGTATTAGGGGGAGAGCGGGGGGTTGCTGGGCAGTTGCCGGCGTGGGGGGGGCTTTGGCTTGACGGGAGCGGGGAGGCCGGGGGAAGCCGGGACGATCGTCCCGCGCTCCGCGCTTGAGAGGGCGGTGGGAGGGGGAGGGGAGCGGGCCTGGCGGCCCCCATCGAGGCCCTCCGTCGGCCTGGCCCGCTTCGGTCGGCCGCACCGGCAGCCCTCGGAGACGCGGCGCGGTCGGGGAGGTGGTCCGCGGCCGGGCGAGGGGGCCCGAGGCCTGCGCGGCCTGAGTGGCGAGGCCGCGGGCGGCATGGCGGGCCTCCGCGGGAGCGGTTGGGGAGGAGGCGGTGGGGGAGGGGAGGAGCACATCCGGGCGAGCGAGCAGGCGGGCGGCGGCCACATTGACATTGATCCGCTGCCGCGTTACGAAATGGCGCATTGGCCCGCAATGGCCGCCGCCTGGTTACGCCGCCAAGAAGGAGTGCGTGGGATTGGAGGGAGCGGCGAGAGGCGGCCGGGCAGAAAATGCCGCAGATGGCCTCCGCCTCGGGGCGCGGTGCTTTCCGCTGGGGTGCTGCCGGCGCGTATCTGGGCCTCCGGGCCTCCTCGGTGACGGCAATCGGCGCAGTGCTCTGGCCGGATTTTCTCAGCGTTCATTTGGGGATACATTACTGAAATGCTTGCTGCTTTGAGGTGCTTCCTAACCCGCTGCTTTCGCTCAGGTGTTTGGAATGGAAGTGCTTATAGCGTCTCGTGGCCCAAGTATTAACTATTTCAAGGGATTTGCGTGTAGATAGTGGCTATTTGGAGTCTAATATTTGTATTGATCTAATTTCTCATGGATTGGCACCGGTTTGTGGTTTCCTGGATTTTGGTTTTGGAGAACTGCGACCACAGCCAAATTTCACGATTACGAGGATTCTGTGTGTAGAGATGTTGTTTTTGTGTATTGCCATGCGTTTATCCGAGGCAAGAATAAATGGGACTAAGCGAATTAAAGCTTTGGGCATTGAACGTGTTTCCAGTATTTGGCTGTCTTAAAGTATTGAATGCTTTAATTTCTACTTCTAGAGGTTGAAGATGTTTTTAAATGTGAATGTGAGTCTCCTTTAAAGATTTGTGTTGAGTTGTCTTAATGCGTACATTTAAAGTTGTTCATTTGAATGTAAAACCTTCAAAATGAAAAATTCATACTAGATATTTCCTAAGTCAATTACGGTTATGTGCTTAATTCCTTCGGCAGACAGTATATGCTGTATGTGACATTCAAATTATATACACCTTGTGAATGTAGGTGTATTGTTTGAAGTCATTTAACTATGATGTAAATGGGCATCCACCAAGTTAAATTGATTGCAGAAAGTAGTGCAACTAGGTGTGATGTACACCTGTTATCCTAGCACGTGGAAGGCTGAGGTTAGACTGCCTCAAGGTCCAGTCTAGCCCAGCCTGGCCTTGAACCTCCCTCGGTAGCTCCCCTCCCCTCCCCAAAGCACTACGGGACTAAGTCTTATCTGTTTTGTTCCATGTGGGAAATGCCTGTTTTGCGTAGGGAGTGTCTTAACTGATGTGCTGGATATCTGAATCTCTCAATTTGCCATCCCAAACTTTTAAGTTGCATTTCAAAGATTGTGTTTTAAAACTATGGGTTTGTTGCTGTTCCAGACTAAGGATAGTGGAAATGGCATGGGTTGAATAATGCTGACTCTCTGGTTTCTTTTTTGTAGTGAATGACTTGTTACAAACATCTGAAATTCTCCTAACTTCCAGTTGTAGCTTTCAAAAAGTTTTTTAATTCTGGGGTTTAGTTTAGTTACATGATGTTTAAAGTTACCCCGGGTACCATTGTAGTGGGTTTTTTGTTTTTGTGATAACCCATCCACTATATACTTCATACTGGCTGTGAACTGGATACATAGTCCAGGCTAGCCTCTGCCTCAGACGCTGAAATTAACTGGTGTGTACTATCATGCCCAGCGTAGAGCACATTTTTGGGATGTTAATGTTAGAAATGTTGAGGCTCATGTAAAAATTCATCTGCTTTAAGAAAAAAAAACTATTGGTCTTTTTTCCTCAGGGCCATGATCCAAAGGAACCAGAACAGTTGAGGAAGCTGTTTATTGGTGGTCTGAGCTTTGAAACCACAGATGATAGCTTAAGAGAACATTTTGAGAAATGGGGCACACTCACAGACTGTGTGGTGAGTTTTTGGGGTAAAGGTGGTCTTAGGAAGGGATGGGAGACTATAGGACTATTTAAATGCCATCCTTCATTTATTTTGTAGGTAATGAGAGACCCCCAAACAAAACGTTCCAGGGGCTTTGGTTTTGTGACCTACTCTTGTGTTGAAGAGGTGGATGCTGCAATGTGTGCTCGGCCACACAAGGTTGATGGGCGTGTGGTGGAACCAAAGAGAGCCGTTTCTAGAGAGGTATTTTAATAACATGTTGTATAATGCATGGAACTGTGAGAGTTTGGTTTTTTTGACTTAAAATTATTTTGTTTGCAGGATTCTGTAAAGCCTGGTGCCCATTTAACAGTGAAGAAAATTTTTGTTGGTGGTATTAAAGAAGACACAGAAGAATATAATCTGAGAGACTACTTTGAAAAGTATGGCAAGATTGAAACCATAGAAGTTATGGAAGACAGGCAGAGTGGAAAAAAGAGAGGATTTGCTTTTGTAACTTTTGATGATCATGACACCGTTGATAAAATTGTTGGTAAGTAACAGTTGCAACACAAATGATTTGTTTTCAACTGAATTCACTAACTTACACTTCGTGAAAGGATATAATGCTAGTTTTCATAAAACATCTAGATCAATGGTTCTCAACCTTACTCATGCTGTGACCCTTTAATACAGTTCTTGATGTAGTGATAATACAGTTCTTGATGTAGTGACTCCCACCCATAACATTTTCATTGCTACTTTATAACTGTAATGCTTATCTGATATGTGATCCCTGTGGAGGTCATAACCCATCCAGATTAAGAAACATTTCTTCCCCAAATATCCTCTTACTCCCTTCTCAGTCAACCATTTTAACAGTATTTTAACTAATTGCTTGGCAACAAAGGGTTTCACTTGTGGTTTTTTTTTTAATTTACAGTTCAGAAATACCACACTATTAATGGGCATAATTGTGAGGTGAAAAAGGCTCTTTCTAAACAAGAGATGCAGTCTGCTGGATCACAGAGAGGTAAGTAGGATCATATACACTTAAATAGACATGAACAGTACTTGACAGATTTTTGAGAGTTTTACTTCAACATGTATTACAGGTCGTGGAGGTGGATCTGGTAACTTTATGGGTCGTGGAGGAAACTTTGGAGGTGGTGGAGGTAATTTTGGTCGTGGTGGAAACTTTGGTGGAAGAGGTAAGGTGCTTATTAAGTACTAAATATCATACATTTACTAGTCAGTTGAAGGTATTATTTTAATTCAAACTTTGATTTTCCTCAGGAGGCTATGGTGGTGGAGGTGGTGGCAGCAGAGGTAGTTATGGAGGTGGTGATGGTGGATATAATGGATTTGGAGGTGATGGTAAGTATTTAAAGAATTTTGTCTTTAATTTCTGCATTGCCAGGAATCCAACACATAGCCTCTTGCTGTGGTAGATGTTTTGACTGTTTTTAACAGCCATATTAGAAGTGTCTTATTTTCCTGTCCTAAAAGTTTGAATGGTTTGAAATATAGTTCGTAACTAGAACCACAGAAGAGGAAGCGAGGATGGAAGTAAATATTAACTAGTTGTCTTCAGGCAATAAGTTTTATTTGCACCAGCAGTTGAGCTAAAATTGCTTTGTGTAAGATTATATTGTCCTGAGTGATAATGAAAACTGACTGTTTGAAAGAATAAAACACTCATCTTAAGGTTTTACCCATCAAGATTGCTTGACTCTGACTAGATTTAGTGTTAAATCTATTCAGTGGTTTACTCTGCCAGTTGGTGGTGTAGTATAAGCCAGAAGTATTTGGCCTTCCCTGTACATTTATTTTTGTGTGGGTTTCTTTTCAGGTGGCAACTATGGTGGCGGTCCTGGTTACAGTAGTAGAGGAGGCTATGGTGGTGGTGGACCAGGATATGGAAACCAGGGTGGTGGATATGGTGGTGGTGGAGGAGGATATGATGGTTACAATGAAGGAGGAAATTTTGGTGGAGGTAAGTAAGTTACAGATGTTTGAAGTAAATGCAAACTAGCATTTAAATTAGTTCTCTGCTTAAAGGGTACATGGCAAAGTTTTAAGTATTAATAGCTGTATTAAAACATAGCTCATCCATGTAAACACACCATGCCCATTCTTCAGCTGTGATAAAATGGGCACAGCACATTTCACAATTACAGAAGACAATTTTTAAGATATGTGTACAGGGGGATCCTTGAGTTCCAGATCAGTTTGGAAATTATAGAAAAAAATTAAGGTTTCTAGTGTTCCATTCAATGCTGTTAAGGCATATTTACAGTACTTTACAAACCTCATCACTATTTAGTAATAGTTTCATCATTTCTAAATAGGACTTTTTTATTATAACCCAGTTAGCTTCAAATATGTATTGAACTCTGGCTTTGAAACTTCTTGGATCTACCTTACAACCACACCAGGCAAATGTTTTTGCAGTGTGGAAATGCATATTGTAAATTGGTACAAGGAACTTTAGTATAGTAAAAAGGACACTTACTAGTTAGTAAATTACAAGGGAAGTTTTAAAATGCTGTTTGTTGCTGAGTTTTTCCTTAATTTTTGGGTTCTTGAAACTTGGTAAATGGGATGTGAATTTGTTTGAATACTTGGGTGATAGGGTGCCATATCAGCTCTTGGAATAGTTTGAGTGTTACTGTATTATGTATTACGCGACATACTATAGCATGGGTTATGCTCAATTACTACAGGTAATTTGAAGCTTTGTTAGGGAACTGTTAAGCCTAACTTATAAATGTGCTTTAAAAGCTGCAATGCATTAGAATCATTGAATATAATTTTGATCTAAATGATATGGTAGGAATGTGTATCTAGGATACAAAATCAAAAAAATAAGTTTTCCTTAGATATGATGTTTAATAGCTTCTTAGAGATGTCTTCTGGACATGTTTCACTTGCTGTGCCCTTTTATTAGATCACTTGGGCTTCTGGTAATGGAGTTAGTACCTAAGGTCACTGTTAAATGCTTGTATAAAATAATTATAATACTTTGCTTCTCTGAGTGTCCAAATAAATGAGTAAATAATTATTTTGGTAAACTATAAATAAAATCTTTATGATTTCAGGTAACTATGGTGGTGGTGGTAACTATAATGACTTTGGAAATTATAGTGGACAACAGCAATCAAATTATGGACCCATGAAAGGGGGCAGTTTTGGTGGAAGAAGCTCAGGCAGTCCCTATGGTGGTAAGTCCTTTTTAGTCAGAAGTCTTAAGAGCCATCTTGGTTAACATTTTATGTGTATTTAGAATTGTATGTTTTATTTTTCAGGTGGCTATGGATCTGGTGGTGGAAGTGGTGGATATGGTAGCAGAAGGTTTTAAAAAAATACAGCAGAAAAGGGTAGGTATCTTTAAATTCTTTAAAAATGATGATAAAAGAATATGTGGAACTTCACTGAGTGTAATAATTTTTTTATCCTGTATTATTCAACAGGCTACAGTTCTTAGCAGGAGAGAGAGCGAGGAGTTGTCAGGAAAGCTGCAGGTTACTTTGAGACAGTCGTCCTAAATGCATTAGAGGAACTGTAAAAATCTGCCACAGGAGGAACGATGATCCATAGTCAGAAAAGTTACTGCAGCTTAAACAGGAAACCCTTCTTGTTCAGGACTGTCATAGCCACAGTTTGCAAAAAGTGCAGCTATTGATTAATGCAATGTAGTGTCAATTAGATGTACATTCCTGAGGTCTTTTATCTGTTGTAGCTTTGTCTTTCTTTTTCTTTTCATTACATCAGGTATATTGCCCTGTAAATTGTGGTAGTGGTACCAGGAATAAAAAATTAAGGAATTTTTAACTTTTCAATATTTGTGTAGTTCAGTTTTTCTACATTTTAGTACAGAAACTTTAACAAAAATGCAGTTTTGAAGGTGTTTCCTTGTGAGTTAACAAGTAAAGAAGATCATTGTTAATTACTATTTTGTATGAATTTTGCTAAAGTTAACTGTAAAGAAACACCTACTGACTTGCAATTTAAGGGGAATCTATTCTTCCCATTTCCAAAACTATGAGTGGGCGCTGACATGTGGAGAGAATAGATATTTGTATGTTTGCAATGTGTGTTTTAGATAATTAGGATTGGGTAATAAAATTAGCATATTTGTGAATTTAATAGCATTAAGATTACTTTCAAATGAAAAAGATCTCAAAAGTTCCTATTTGGGTTTTGTGCATTTTATTTCAAAATGTAATCATGGTTTTAGTATGTTTCATTGAGTCCTAACCGTGTTAAGAACATCTCCATTCCACATTTACCCTGATCACATTGAAACTGCTGCCAATAGTTTGGGGTATAAAAGTATTTATATTTATATCACACTCTACTGAAGGGTGGTGGGTGTATTTCATCTTCCAATTTAACAGTCTTTTAATACAGGACCACTAAGTATGCTGTGTCTGAGCAAACTGGTGGATACCTGGTTCTGCTTTTCAGATGCAAAGTCCCAAAGCACATTATTATTCCTTGGTTTTTAGTGTCCCCCACCATACAACTTTTCAGAGCAGAGGAATAAAAGTCACTCGTTTGAACCCCTAACTGGCTGGCATGCTTTCCTGTTTATACCCTATCCATTTTGTTGGATGATGAAGCCACGGATAGTTAAGGTGTCATTGTCTAAAACAAAGTAGCAGAAAATGTAGCACAGTTGCTTTCTTAGTGTGAGCACCTCACTTCCCAAAAGATCTGAATTCAAATTTGGATAGTCATGAATGCTTAAATCCCCAAAGAACACACGGTTATTCTTTGTATATATTTCATCCTAAAACATGTTGGTGTTTGTTCAGAGACCCTGGTTGAGAAGAGTTCTAGATACTAAGGTCATATATATGAAAAATGTCTACTGTTACGCCAGCTAGTGCTTAGCAACTTCATTCAAGACCCGAAGTATGTGCTCTGCTGTTGCTTCCCTTGGCATTTGAACATTGAATTCAAAGTTTTACTTGGTTTTTGAAGTATAAGCAAAACAAGCAATAAAAAGGGGAATGGGGCGTGCTAGTGTTTGAATATGCTCTCTTGTTGCTCTAATTCTGTGCATTAATATTTGGATGCATGCAGTGCTAGCATGGAACTTTGGTCTTCACAAATACTACAGTTTTCCAGAAAACACTCACAAAACAATAAATGTAACAGACAACATTCCATTTGTTATTGGGCATATGTGAATGAGCAGTGCAGAAAATAGGCTCATGTTAGAAAATGGTTACATCTTTCATAACAAAGTGTGATTATAAATGGACACTGTCAATGTTTACAGTTTAAACCTGGGTACATGGTCAAAATGCTTAGGAATATTAAAACTGAGCTAAATTGTCTCAAGTCTTTTATTCATATAATAAAGATTGAAAGAATTGGGGAGGTTAACATTTCCTGGTTTTGTTTGTGAAATTGTTGGACACAACCTTGACAGTATCCTTTAATGTCATGAGGTCAATTGTATTGTTAACCAATTTTTTATGTTCTGGAACTACTATAATAGTGAAACTTTTTCAGTAAGTTGATGTTTACAACCTATAATCAGGTGAAATCTGTATGTGACCTGTTTATAAGTTGTACTAGGTTAGATTTTTGTGAACTGTGGAAAAGTAAGCCATGAGAGTGAATTAACCAGCTTTAAAGGACCACTAAGACAGGACTTCAGCAGCCTTTGTGTATGGACAAGTCAGCATAAATAAAGAATGAGAAGGCAGCAGCAAGAGCTTCAACAACAGAGAAGTGGAGGCATAAGATACTATGGTGATAGTGAGCAGCCTTCCAAAAGCTAGTTAAATCTGCTTATTGCAACTGAAGTGGCGAAGAAAGTAGCAGGAAGGAGCTCCGCCCTTTGGAACATCAATGAGATAGTTGCCACAGTCTCTAGGTCTAGCATTTAGACCTGCAAGGAAGGGCAATAAGCATTAGGTAAGGCTTGAATTTGAATTTTTTCACTAATTAAAAGAGTGCTTTTTTGTAAAGCAAGGTAAGAGTAATCTTTCTGATTTGCAGGTGAATGAGAACCCTACTTGCCTAAATGAGGAATGTCTTTCCTACCATCTTAAATACGAAGGTTTCTGGCTGGGTAAGGTTTGTAGCTCACAGTAAAACCTGATGACACCATTTGGTTTTCCTATAAATGCCACAGGTTGAATGAAATATTACCCCTATTAGTAGGTACACTGGCAGAATTGTCAAGGTGTTTTGTGGGGGGGGGGTACCCTACTGAACAAGTTGTAAGACTTCAGACCGTTAACATTCTGCAGTGAGCCAGATGTGGCCTCTCTGTGTGTACAATTCACCATTAGTATCTGGTAAAATCAGTTTTCCATAAAGGAAAAAGTTAGTGTTGGCTTTCAGAAAATAATTTTGGAGTATATATAGCTTCCAAAAGCTGCTAGTTGCCACCCTAGGGAAAACGGGAGCTTTCACAATTGCCAGAATATTTGTCTTCCTCAGTTCTCATTTATGTGGACCAGTTTTTAGGTGGTGTCTGTCCCTTCCATTCCTAAACACACAGGGTCTCACTGTTGTCCTGGCCTAGAACTCCATCCACCTGCCTGTGTCCCAAATGCGGGGATGGTGAAAGGGTGGTGCCTAATTGTTGCTCATTCCTTCAAAAACAAAACCCAAAGAACAGTTGAGTTCTATTCAAATAAGTTGCTGATTGCTCATAAGGGCTATTTTTTGCTGCCTTCACAGGGCCTTGAAAATTGCTTAATTCAGGTTACTTTCTAATATTTTCAGAGGACAAGTTTGCAAAACACTGGTTAGTTAGAGATCTTGTTTACCACACAGGGATGCCCTACATCAGGTTTGCTTGGCATTTCAATGACTCAATTTACACAAACCATAATTACTAATGAAAGTGGCAATCTTTCAATGGTTCTTACAGACTTGGAGAAACATTTTTAAATAGGCATTCCATTTCCTTTCTGAAATAAAATTGTTCTACTTAATGTTGTTTCACTGTCATTTCTGCAAAAACATTTTACATACAAAAGGTGGACGTACAAAACAGGAAACAATTGAGGGTGGCTTTGATTTTTGTTTTAACTAGGATACTGCTCCCAGTTTACATGTCTAAAAGCTGCATTCACACATGTCTATAAAGAAGAAGGGGCCGTGCTAAAAATCTGGAAAGGGCTAAAGAGAAATGGCCTTGGTTTTCAAGGGTTATATTGTGTTGCAATTTAAAACAGGCCTAATGACAGTAACTGGCATGTTAAGGTGATAAGCATGGGGATAATATGCAGGGTGCTGAGAGGACTGGTATAGCCTATTCAAGTTTTAATGTGTTCCTTTTCTTATGACAGCAGAGGTGGTCTGTACAGGATTCGATTGTTTCCTTTGTAGTATGATGAAATGTTACAGAGAGATGACTTTTTCATTAAAATATTTTTAGAAATGTGTCTGTGGTTTTATCACTTTGCAATATTCCTTTGACTCAGTCCTGTGTGGATATAGACATTAACAAAATGAAGTTTGGGGATGAGCCTTGATATTTTAAAAGCTGTAATCTGAAGTAGAAGCAGGTATATGGCTACTTAATTCAAGGTCAACATTGGAATAGTTGGTGTATGTGGGATTCATGGACTTGGATGGTGGGGTGAGATAATTGGGCAAGTGAAAGGGTGTGGGGGATAAGTTCCACATGTGACAACTTTAATAAGGTAGTTCCTTAGTTGAACATGAAGGTAATAGGGTCAAGAAAGTCAATGTACTGAAGGTTCCTCCTAGTAAAGTATGTGGGAAATCTATTGATATTTACTTCCTGTACCTAACTAGCTCTCAGGTTTCAGATTCCACTGCCTTTCCTGAATCCTGGGTCTGTGAAGGTACCTAACCCACACATGACCCTCAAGTGAGTTATTTTGTGAATAAAATTCAGGTGACCATTAGTTGTGGGGATTTTATACTTCACATACTGGTTTTAATTTGTAATTTGGAGCCACAAATCTCCTTATTTTAGATTAGTACTGTACTGAAATGGACTTCATTTCCACCAAAAAACACTTTACTTTCCAGATGAAAATAGCTATAAAGTGGTGATGCTTACCTAGCATGCATAAAGTCCTGTGCTGTCTCCCCTGTTCACAAAGCATGCCAAACAGGAAAAAATGATTGAAACCAACAATGCACTTAAGCCTGTAATGCCTTTTTTTTTTTTTAAAGCAAGATCAGGATCTCATAAATTGGCATAATCCGGTTGAACAAAGGTTTAGGGCAAGTGTCAATTTTGGTTAAGAACAAACAGTGGTGAGGGTCACAGCCTCAGCGGATAGTTCTGGGAACTAGAAAATGAGCACACATTTACCCCATGCTATTTAGATCTTAGAAATTGTCAGTGAACAAGTTCTAAATTATAGGGATTAAAAACATTTTTATGTGCATTGGTGTTTGGCCTGCATGTCGTTGTGAGGGAGTCAGATCCACTGGAACTTAAGTTATAACACCTGTGAACTGCCATGTGGGTGCTGGGAATTGAACCAGTCTCTAACCCAAGTTACGGGAATTTTTGAGCTTTAAAATACTAAGGGATAGAGCCAGGCAAAGATGCATGCCTGTAATCAGGAGGCAGAGGCCAGCCTGGTGAGTTCCATGACAGCCAGAACTGTGTACACTAGAAACCAGTCTCAAAAAGTCAAATACGTATCTGTGGCTAGATGGAAATGGATGTTTTACAATACCTTCCTTTTTGTGTAGTCATTGTATTTCTAAAGATTGTGTTCTGCCTGCATGCACATAATGTGCATACCCGATGTCCCTAGAATCCGAAAGAGGGCACCATTCCCTGGAGTTGCAGAACCTTGGTTTCACTATATGGGTGCTGAGAATCAAGCTTTTTGTTCTCTGCAAGAGCGGTAGATATCCTTAACAGCTGAACCATCTCCAGCCCCTTCCAGTTGGTTCTGTCTGAATGTTATAACTGATACTCTTTTTTATGAACATTGTGTGGTTAATGGAAACATCCTTCAAGCTTCTGGTAGGTTGCCTAATATGAATTAATTTCAGAAGTCTTACGTCCTCATTTAATAACAATTAGGTCTGTTTAGTCTTTGAGCTTTGCTTATCAAGTTTAAATTATGAACTTAACCACGTGGACTTGACATTTTTTTGTTTGTTTTTTCTTCAAGACAGGGTTTCTCTGTGTAGCTTTGGAACCTGTCCTGGAGCTTGCTCTGTAGACCGGGCTATCCTTGAATTCCCAGAGTTCTGCCTGCTTCTGCCTCCCGAGTACGGGGATCAAAGACATGTACCACCACCATCCACCTAAGGGCTCAGGCAACTTATTTGGGGGTACTTTTGTGCTTTTCCTTGTTTGATACTGCCAACGAGAAAGCTTAAAATAACTGTGTGTGGGTGTTGAAGAGATGGCTTAGTGGCAAAGAGTATTTGTCGTTTTTTCCAGAGGACTTAGGTTTGATTCCCAGCACCTACATGGGACAGCTCAATCTGCACTCTAGTCCCAGGGGATCCAACACCCTCTTCTGGCACCAGGCACATAAGGGTAGATAGACAACACCCATAGACACAACTTTTTAAAATACCGACTTTGGCAGAGAGATGTGATTGCATGCATTAGTTTTAACAGTTGGGAGAGGGGGGCTGGTAAGTCTCAGTTCCAGGATTATATAGTGACACTCCGGAAACATTTTTAAAAGCTGGGTTTGGTTTGTTCAGAGATGGCCCAATCTGGCCTCTGGCCAGAGCATTCATTCCCAAACTGGAGTTAAAACCTTGAATATCTAATGCTGGCTCAATGTTAAACTGCTTAAATGTGGACAGTTTAAATGTTACCTTTAAAGTATTAATCAGGCTGGAAAGATGGCCCAGTGTTTAAGAACCCTTGCTGTTCTTCAAGAAGTCCTGAGTGCAACTCCCAGCAACTCACAGGGTGGCCAACAACTATTTGAACTGTAATGGGATTTGATAACATCTTTGGGTGTGCAGAAAAAGTGTACATACTAAGTTGTCAAAGTATTAATTATCTGACTCAGCAATAGTTAGGTCCTTCATACATTAATTTCTGATTTGATTTGGTGGGTTTTAGATCTTTGAAATTGTTGCCTAATGATCTTTTGAGTTTCCAACAATTCAGTCATCTAAAGTTAAAAATATCTGTGAGTTCAAGACCATCCTGGTCTACAGAGCTAGTTCCAGGACAGTTAAGGCTGTTAGAGAAACCCTGTCTTGGTGGGGGGCAGCGGAGCATTATCAATAATATTGTAAGAATATTAAAGGAGCCGGGCGGTGGTGGCACACACCTTTAATCTCAGCACTCGGGAGGCAGAGGCAGGTGGATCTCTGAGTTCGAGGCCGGCCTGGACCGACAGCCTCCAAAACAATACAGAGAAACCCTGTCTCATAAAAAAAAAAAATTAAAGGAAAAATTACCTTTTTGGGGGACAGTTTCTTTGTGTAGCTTTGTAGACCAGGATGGCCTCAGAGATCTGCCATGGCTGCCTCCCAAGTTCTGGGATTAAAGGTGTGCACCACCACCACCCAGCTAGGAAATACTACTTTTCCATTGTTACCAATATTAAGCAACTTTTTGATGAGAATCATGAGATCTGTTCAGATGACGACCCAGTGCACAAGAACTGCTGTGTGATCATGAGGACCTGGGTTTGAATCTTCAGCTCTGGTGTACACAGCCAGGTGTGCTCAAATGTCCACTGAAGCTTGTTGGCTGCTTGCCTGGCTCCAGGTTCAGTCAAGAGACCATGTTTCAAGGCTAGAATGGAGTGATGAAGGCAGTACACTCGATGTCTTTGGTCACATGTGCATGTACATCAGAAGGAGATTATAAGACCCAAATTTATGTTAAGGATTACACTAATAGAGGTGAAATGTGAAAATTAGCTAAAAGGGTGCCTATTTATTTAATCATTTTAACATAGCCTGAAAGCATACCTAAAGTCTAATGGGAGACTAGGTAAGTCAGGATCTTGGTTTTCTTTTTTTCCCCTCCAAGAATTGAAGTCATTAAGTTTTCTCTCAATTCTCCCGAAGTAACTCCTATCAAATGAAACTATTTACCTTTATTTATTTATTGAGACAGGGTTTCTCTGTAACAGCCCTGGCTGTTGTGGAGATCAGGCAGGCCTCAAACTCATCTGCCTCAGTCTCCCAAGTGCCAGGATTGAAATGCATGTGCATCATACCTGAAACTGCTGTCTTCTAAAGTGGGAGAGAAAAAAAATTTTTATGAGACTGGGTTTCACATATCCTTGGCTGACCTGGGACTCTAGAAATCTGCCTGACTCTCATGAGTGCTAGGTTTAAACCTAGTACTATTAGATCCAACCTCATAATAAAAAATTATGGGTGTGGTAGTATAGGTTCTCCCTGTTCACCCAAAAAAACAGCTGGGGAAAAACATCTTGGATGGATTTTAAGTTTTTTTTTTTTTAAGATTTTTTAATAACAAGGGTCTGAAGAGCATTTATGGCTCTTGCAGAGGACCCAAGTTTGATTCCCAGTCCCACATGGTGGTTTACAACCATCCATAACTCCAGTTTCAGGAGACATACATGCAGGCAAAGCCTTCACACACAAAATCTAAGAAAACAAAAGTAAGGGATGGAGAGATGGCTTGGCAGTTAAGAGTACATACGCTCTTGCTGAGGACTAGAGCTCAGTTCCTAGTACCCACATCAAATGACTTACAACCTCCTACCTGTCACTCCAGTGTCAGAGAATCCCAACACCCTCCTCCTGGCCTTCACAGATAACTGCATATAACCACACAGATACTCAGGCATACACATAGTTGAAAGTTTAAAAGATTGAGAATAGTGTTTGACATAACCTCAAAGGTGTGCATTTTAGCCTACAGAATTGAACTAGGCCGGGCGTTGGTGGTGCACGCCTTTAATCCCAGCACTCGGGAGGCAGAGGCAGGCGGATCTCTGTGAGTTCGAGACCAGCCTGGACTACCAAGCGAGTTCCAGGACAGCCTCCAAAGCCACAGAGAAACCCTGTCTCGAAAAACCAAAAAAAAAAAAAAAAAAAAAAAAAAAAAATTGAACTAGAAACAGTTCAAGAAAGGTTAAAACATTTGGGCTAGATTTACTATTCCAATAAAGAAGAAACTATTTTGGTTTTGATAGTTGGGTATGCTAGTGTTCAAAAGTTTTACATTTCTTTGTTTCTTGGATTTTCAAGACAGGGTTTCTCTGTGTAACCACAGCTCTGGCTGTCCTGGAACTCTCTGTAGACCAGGCCTCAAACTCAAAAGAGATCTGCCTGCCTCTGCCTCCCAAGTACTGGGATTAAAGGCATGTGCCACCACCACCTGGCTTTAAATTTTTCTTGAAAGACTTTTTGTGTATGTGTGTTTTGTATGCATGCCTGTCTCTGTAACTGGTGCCCGGAGTGGGTTGGGTCCCCTGGAACTGCAGTTTCAGATGGTTGTGAGCTGCCATGCATGTGCTGGAATTTGAACCCATGTCCTCTAGAAAAGCAGTCAGAGCTCTTAAGTAACAACCATCTTCCCAGTCCCTCTATTTGAAATGTAAAGCAATTTAGGCACTGTAAAGTCCTATGGTCAGTTCCTTTTTGCATGGCAGAATCTTGTTAAATTGGACTGTGGTAATGCAGATGGGCAGTCTGTTCCGTGGGCTCCACATGGAGCTGCTCCCGTCAGTTTCATTGTCAATTGGAATCAAGTGGGTTCGTCCATCACTACCACATCTCCAGAGATGGACAGCAGGAGAGAACTTAGGACCAACTATCTGACAAATCCTAGGACAAGTTTTGAAGAGGAACAAAGAATCCATTTACAGATGTTTCCATCACAGATGAGACAAGGCTGAGTGCTAAAGTGAGTAGGAGGAGGCTTTTCTCTAGAAAATGACCAGAGCTTCAGTCTGGTCCCAGTGTACTGGTAGGACTCTTGGAGGAATCGTGTTTATCAAGTCCCCTGCATCTCCAGGACCCCCTTCCTCAAATTCTTATGTAACCTGGAACTTCTCAGGCTGTGTTTGTGCACAGCCACACCTAGCTCCTGACTCTTAAAAAGGCAATAAGCACGAACTACAGTGATTAGATGAAATTGAACTGATGTTATCAAGTGTTTTTGGTTTCTTTTAAAAAAGATTTATTTATCATGTATACAGTGCTCTGCCTGCATGTGTGCCAGCATGACAGAAGAGGGCACCAGATCTCATTACAGATGGTTGTGAGCCACCATGTGATTGCTGGGAATTGAACTCAGCACCTCTGGAAGAACAGTCAGTGCTCTTAACCTCTGGGCCATCTCTCCAGCCCAAGTTTTTTTGTTTTAAAGGAATGAGCTTTTAAAAATTTTATCTATATGTGTGAGCCAGTTTCCCTATCATTAGAATTTATTCATTCTTGGGTAACAATTCCTTGATTGTTATTAAAAAATGATGGTGTATGCCTTTAATCCCAGATATGACAAGGCAAGGGCAGGTAGATCTCAAGCTCAAAGCCTGGTCTATAGAGTTCCAGGACAGCCAGGGGTATAGAAAAACCCTGTCTTGTAAAGAAAATGAGAAAGAGAAATGTAGTTGCATATACGAACTTCACTCCTTGTCTCTCTGGTCCTACTCTTGCCTTGTAGATTGCTCAGGTACACAAACCAGAGAGGACAGGCTCGCATGCCACGTCAGCCTTAGCCCCTCCCTTCTAAAGACTGCTCACCCCTGCGACTTTTCATAGCGGTTCTTCCCATCACTTCCTGCCTTGTGGCTCAGCCTTGGTCTGCAGCTTTGTGTTGGCATGCAGGGCTCCAACAGTGGCTTGACATACACCTTCAGATGTTACAAGCTCAGAGTTGCAATGGTTTGTACTAGTATTCATTTATTTGGATTTTTTTTGAAACATGGTTTCTTTCTACATAGCTCTGAGTATCTTGGAACTCTCTATGTAGACCAGGCTGGCCATGAATTCAGAGATTGGCCAGTCCCTGTCCCGGATTGCCAAGATTAAAGACATGAGCCACTAGGTCCTACCCCTCTTAGGATGCCACTTCCAAAAACACAGGGTTGTTACTGGTTTCGCTCTTTGTGCTGCAGTACCGCACAGCAGACATACCACTGCTGTGAATAAACACGTTTTCATGAGCATACACCATTTCCTTAGTATGACGACCCCAGTAACCACAATTAGTATAGAAAGGGTTTACCTTTGTCTTTTTGAGACAGGCTCTCACTATGTAGCCTGGCTGGCCTGGAGTTCAGAGATCTGCCTGCCTCTACCTCCTGAATGTTGAGAATAAGCAACATGTACTGCCACACCTGGTTATAAAATGCTTTTGGATTTTCAAAACTATTCTGAAAATGAAAAATAACCAAATGTGGTAAATGGGTACCTATGGAAAACACGTGAATAAACTCAATCCGGAGTAATTTAAGTCATGATATTCCTTTATTAGTGCCAGCTCCTTTAATTTTTGTCAGAGCTAAACAATTTAATATAAAAATGTCATTTTTGTTCATACAGTATATAAAAAAGTATAGTGGTTTGGTTAGTTTTGCAATATTTTGCTTTTAGCCAGATGTCATATAAATCTATGAATGTAACAAATAAGAACAGTATAAATAAGTTTTGTAGTATTTACACTTACACAGAAACTAGCCCAAATGATGCCCTAAGAAATTAACTTCAGAGTTAAAATGAAACTGATTCAACATTGAGACATTAATGCTCTGTAGTTTCATATTATTTCTACTCTAGCTTTGGCTATAGTTCTGCATAGTTAACTATAAAGTGTGTTTCTGCATTTCACATCACAGTAGGAAGTCTTAGCAGTACAAAACAAACACTAGCTCAAAACAAGAGGCTCCATCTTTCCGAACCTAGTTTTTCTTGGTGTCTGGCTTCTTGCTTTTGGGAACCAGGAATACATTGCCGTCTCTGGTCTGCTGCAGGGAGTACTCACTAGGAGAGTAAGGGTTTCCGTCCTCATCACGTAACATGCTGAAGACTTCAAGATACAAGGTGCTGAGCTGCCTCTTCAGTAGGTGGAGGTTTCTGTCATTTTCTCCCTTTTCTCTGAGTAGTTTTTCTCTTTCATCCTTTAAGTGGCCTAAGTCTTGCTCCAGTTCTACTATGTTCTCCAGTTTCCTTTTCCTACAGTTCTGAGCGGCGACTTTATTCTTACCTCTCCTGCGTATATCTCGGATTAATGCAAGCTGAGCTTCATTGAATTGCTCCTTGGACATCATTTCATTGAAGTCATCCACAGGGAGGTTAATGATTTTTTCAACAGGGAATGGGATATGGAGAGCTTTTGCCCTAAGCTCATCTCTTGAAAGATGAGCCTCCAAGCGGCTTGAATGTTTGTCTTTTGTGAATGGGACTTTTTGATGACCAGGACTCGCAGGCATTTCTTTTTTTGTTGTACTTTCACACTGGGCATCATGCGCAGGAGGACTGTGCCCCAGAGCTGGTGACAGAGGCTGCCCTGTATCCCCAGAAAACTGTGTTGGCTGTCCTTTAGGACCATTCTGTTTGACACTTCCAGGGGCACTATCAAGCTCTTCCATCTCAGAGTCACTGAGCCCAGGCGGTGGGTCTCCGTAAATGGAAGACTCTGCAGAGTGCTCCGGGGATGCTCGACTGGGACTAGTGTTCAGTGAGATGCCGGAGTCGGAGTCATTGAACTCCGCTGTGCTTTCGGGGCGTTTCTGGCTGAAAGCTTTACAAAGTGACAGATCACAGCCATCCATAGGCCCGCTCAGAAGTTCAGACAGTGACTGACTGACGGCAGCAGAGGAAGCCATGCTGCTACTGCCACTGGGCTCTGCTATGAAAGTAGAGTAGAACTCATCACCAAAATCTGTGTTCAATGTGGAATTCGAATCTAAAGAGTTGAGCTGGCTGGCATCTTCCGGGGAGAGGATGCTGCCGAAAGAATCTTCAAATCCATGAAGGAAATGTGGACTGCAGCTGTCCACTTCTTTATTCAGTGAGGGGATGGACGAGTAAAAATGGTAATTGCTGTCAACTTCTGTCAGATTGGCTTCTGGGCTGGGAACAGTGGTAGTCTCAACCAGCAGCTTATTTTCAGTATTAAGACACTGGAAAAGAAGTTCATATTGTATGAGTAGAGGCTAGGTATTTTTTTTTAGATCAATTCTCTACCCCCATTTCCAAGTTGTTCTTTTCAATAATTCCAATAACTCTCATTTTCAGAAGACAGATATGATTGTCAGAGCTCTAAATTTAGTTTTAAGAATTAGAATGAATCTATCCTGAAATATTCAGCCTGCTTAACTAAATCTGTATGTGTTAAATGAGCCTGGGAGATTCTCATGAGTAATTCAAACACACACCCAATTTCTTCCTGTAAGTAGGTGACATGTAAATAATAAATAACTGGACGACTAATTTAAGGGGCCACATAGGAAACAGCACACTCACAGAGCTCGCTTACCTGTAACTCGGGAATGGAAAGAAGCTCCTGCCAAACTTGCTCCATGTCCTGCTGTATGCTGTTTAGATTAGTCATGGCTGTCTCCAGAGAGTTGTCCAGTGACTGAGCCTGATCCGGACGGCTGAAGACTGGGCTTTCAACATGGCTGGAAATATCCAGGGCGAGTGATTGAAATGCAGGTGAAGAAACCTAAGATTGACAAGGCATTTACAAGAGAGCCAAGGCAGGCAGAGCACACAGCAGTGGGGTCTGCAGCTCTCTGATTACTGATCACTGTTTCTATAAAATGATGTTTCTTCCTTCCCAAATGACTCCATTTACAATTTACCAGGTTGTTGCCCACGTATTTAAGGGTAGATTTCAAAATGGATAAAAATAATCATTGGGCTTAATTTCTATCTATAACATCTAGCAGAGTGCTTCAAACAATAGATTAAGAATTTTTTTTTTTGAGACAGGGTTTCTCTGGATAGCTTTGGAGCCTGTCCTGGAACTTGCTATGTAGACCAGGCTGGTCTCAAACTCACAGAGATCCGCTGCCTTTGCTTCCCAAGTGCTGGAATTAAAGGCAAGCGCCACCAATGCCTGGCAAGATTGTTAATAGTTGCTCTTTACTGGTCAAAATATTTTATGTACCTATATCCATTTCCTATGGAAAATTAACTTTTTTTTTTTTTTTTGGTTTTACGAGACAGGGTTTCTCTGTATTGTTTCGGAGGCTATCGGTCCAGCCTGGCCTCGAACTCACAGAGATCTGCCTGCCTTTGCCTCCCGAGTGCTGGGATTAAAGGCGTGCGCCACCACCGCCTGGCGATTCATTTTTTTTTTTTTTTGTAGCTACATAGTATAATTGACTTGTGGTTTAATATGGAATACAGGTCTTGTTTTTTTTTTTTTTTCAAGACAGGGTTTCTCTGCATTGTTTTGGAGGCTGTCCTGGAACTCTCGGTAGACCAGGGTCGCCTTGAACTCACAGAGATCCGCCTGCCTCTGCCTCCCGAGTGCTGGGATTAAAGGCATGCGCCACCAACGCCCGGCCACACGTCTTGTTTTTACACATTGTATAAATACGTGTATAATTCCCTTAACAAAGAACTTCTTTGGTCAAATTTGTCCTTCTAAAATTTTTTTCTATTCTCATAATTGGGGTCACATTAAGGGGACTAATACTAAACAAGGGAGTTTTGCTATTAAGCAACCATTTTTATACCTCATGGTCATCTACAAATGGGAATGTCTCTGCCAACAGCTGCATGCAGTCTTCAAAGTACGAGGCATCTGGTTTGGGAATGTGGGCCACCTGGATGAAGGAATGGCACAAAAGAATTTATCAAAAGCTCTACTGCTGAGCCCGAGTCATGACTGGCATCCAGAGTTGTTCCTTAAATAATGATACAAAGTAATGATATTTCAGAAATCAGTTTGTTGCACAAGTTCAAACCAGGTCACTTGGATTCAAATCTTAGTCCCATTCTGGCCCCTCTCCCTCAATAAACAGCACTGGGGGATTGAACAGAGGGCCTTGTGCTGGGCAGCAAGCTCCCCTGATTTTCTGAGTGATCTGGGTAAATGATTTAACCCTTCTGAACTTTAGTTGTCTGGCGATATATGAGAATCACAGTATGTAGTAAGTTAAATCGATTATTCGTACAACTAGGGCAATGCCTGTCACAACACGGAGCAATGCACACCAGCTCACTACCAACAGCACTGCTGCTGCAGCCTCTCCCAACAGGGTATCTCTGTAATTCTCCAAGTGCTCCCTGTGATCTGTGTCTTGATCTTCACAAGGACCCTTAAGAGGAGCTCAGGTACTGAACTCATCAGGAAGCTAAGCTTGGGACCTTGACCTAGTCACAAAAGACATGGTAGACAGCAGACAACTCAAATCCAGGCAGTTGGTCCACTTTAGAGTTTTCCCACCATACTTTTCTTCTGAGAATGAAGTGTACCTGGGAATAGCTGGCAGAGCCACTGGCATCTGTCCGGATGTGCTGGGCTGGCTGAATTGGAAGGAACTCTCCTGTCTCTTCATCCAGTTGTAACTGAGCGAAAAAGGCCTTCTCCTGTTCCTTCTGGAGTTGCTCTTGTCTCTCCTTCTCAAGCTTTTTCTGTTTTTCCAGCTCGTAGTCCTTCTGTCGCTGACTGAAGTCGAACACTTCTCGGCTTACCCCGAGATCTATGTCTTGCCTCCAAAGGATGTCAATCAAATCCATGTCCTGTGTTTACGAAAGAAAAGGAAGGAGAAAGCATGGTCAAGATGGTCCACATGGGTTAATTCACTGTATGCTATCCTTGATGGGAGAGAATACAAAGTCATGCTAAATCAAAGTAGAGATCTAGCAATCTAGAAGAGCACTGTTAACTCCATTTACTCCATCTATTCACTAAAAGCAACAGTATCTATAGCCACCCATTCGAATCACAATTTGAATCATTAAAGAGGACTTCTTACTGCCTATAAAAGTATCAAGGGAGTATATGCTAAGCGTACCACACCACTGACCTAGACCCTTAAACCTAAAAATTTTCCTAAAACACTCTCTAGAACAATCACTGTTCTAGAGAGACAGAAGACATCAAGTTTAAGACATGGAGATATCTTACAAAGAGAGACCAAGATTTCATTTTAATTAGCATTATTATTCTGAGATAATGTCTCACTCTGTACCCAAACAGTTCTCCATCCACAAAGTGCTGGGATTGAGGTACGTGCCACTGTGCTTGACACTGGAGTCGTCTCTCCAGTCCTAAACCAGGTTTTCTGATACATAGCTATAGTTTCTGGAACATCAACTTTGGTGGAAAGCTGAAGTCCATTTCCATTTAGTATACCACTTATAATGAAATCAATAAAATAAGGCTGGAGAGATGGCTCATCAGTTAAGAGTACCTGCTGTCCTTCCAGAGGACCCATGTTCAATTCCCAGCGTCTATACGGTGCCTCACAAATGTCTGTAACTCCAGTTCAGGGGATCTGATGTCCTTTTCTGGTCTCTGTGGGCACTTGGATGCATGTGATGTGAGAATAAGCCAGGACTGATGCTGCTTGGCGTCAAAACAGATCGGCCACATTCAGAGTGATGGTCATAGGCCTGAATGCAGATCTTCTGACCAGAACGCAGCAAATGCAGCAACAGTGAGTGACTTTCTTCTTATGCCTAACATGCTTTGCTGTTTTAGATTTCCATACAAGTTTCAGAAGGAAAATGTCTGAAATTTTGATTTTCTTTTCCTCTTAAGACAGGGCTTCATATTGAGCCCAAGGTGGCCTTGAACATACAGCAATCTTGCTGCCCCAGCTTCCCCAAGTGTGTGCCACAATGACCTGGCTTCAGCTACTGGATACTATGAAGCATTCAAAGTCTAACACTGGACAAGCACTACGCAGAAGTCTGTTAACCCAAAGCACCGCTTGGGAGGCCCACAGCCCGAGTGCTGTTTTCTGTAATGACCAAATAAGCACCAAGCATTTCCTGTAAGGAACCCTGTGACTGGCGCATGACTTATACCACAAAGACCCATCCCTGACCCACTGTTCTGTGAAGCTTGGACATCATCTGAGAGGAAATACTAGGGTAGTGCCCGTAACAAGCGAGAACATGACAGCAGACAGCAGGGAAGGGAAGAGCCTAAGGAGAACCAAAACTGCCCACGCCAAAGTTCTGGAGAGCAGCTCGCGTCACCCCCACCTTGCCGTCGCCCAAGATAGAAAGCCACAAAAACAGACTGAGGAGGAAACTAAAGCAGGGAAGTTGGCGTAGCATTCCAACAGGTATTTCCTTAGACTGGGAAAAGTTGCCTAAGGTAACACAAGCACAGGGGTGAGCCTTGGGACATGTGGGCCAAGTTTTTGTTTGTTCCAAATTCTGCTACAGACTTAGTTTACACAAAAGACAGTAAGAAAATGTTGGACAATTCATGTTAAACTGCCACATGGTCTAATAAGATTATATTCAAAATGTGTAATGATCATTTGCCATCTGGGTAATCCATCACTGGGCAACAAATACATGCCATTTTGAAATAACGTCTCTGTACATGGCCCTTAACACTGGGGCCAACTACATCTTGAGAATTTTAGTTCTTTGAACAAACGCTTACTAGGCTTAGATGATTTTAAAAGAGAAAAAAAATTAAGCAAAGATGATATTCTCATTCTAAATAAAAGCTATTCAGTAAGCTGAGACTTTCCTGGAACTCTCTCTGTAGACCAGGCTGGCCTGGGACTCACAGAGATCCACCTGCCTCTGCCTCCCGAGTGCTGGGATTAAAGGCGTGCGCCACCAACGCCCGGCAAGAACAGTATCTTAATAAACTGCCAAAAATAATAAATTGCACCTGTCATTTAGCCTAGAATGAAAACTGACGTTTGCTCCCAACTTTAAAGTAAAACTTATTGTTTCTTTCCTCCCTGTGCCCCCATTTGAGACAGGATCTCACTATGAAGGCCTAGCTGACCTCACACTCAAACTCATCATCCTACTGACTCAACCTCCCAAATGCTGGGGTCTCAGGTGTATACCTCTGTGAGTTCAAGGCCTGCATGGTCTACAAAACAAGTTCCAGGGCAGCCAGGGCTGTTACACAGAGAAACACTGTCTCAAAAAACAAAACAAACAAAAAAACACAAAAAAAGAAAACCTTAGTTTAACTTTCTGTTTTTTTTTTTGTTTTTTTTTTTTTTGTTTTTTTGAGATAGGGTTTCTCAAACTCACAGAGATCCGCCTGCTTCTGCCTCCTGAGTGCTGGGACTCGTTTCTGCATTCCTTCCTTCATCCAAATATTAGTTACTAGAGCTTTCAGAGTGAGAACATGGTTGTTGTTGTCCTCTCATATGCCTTATTATGATGTCCAGGTGACCTTACTATCCACCTAGAAGGTAAATTTGGTTTAGCTCCCCCCAGACACTTTTGAATTAAGATCAGCCAGAAAACATGACTTATGTTCTACAGTCTGAAACTTATCTAGAACAGAAATTATAATAAACATTTATCCATTACTTCTCTAAGGCTCCTGTCCCACACTGCATTACACGACAGACAAAACAACTGCCAACTGTTTTTCAACAAAAATTCCAGCAGCGGTAGAAGAGACCAAGCGTTCACAGCGGTCGGCCCCCCACACAAGCATTTTTGGTAATAGTGGATTAACTTTCTAATTCTTAATTGTGTTACTACTGTGAAATAGGTGATTAAAATATATAGTATAGGTAACAATACAGAATAGTATGGGGTCAAAGAGGGCCTTACAGCTCTCTAAATCAGGCATAAATATTGTTTAGTTTGTGTCTGAAACCACAGTAACATTAGAAAAAACTGGTTGAGCAACTCCTATATACTTGGCTGACTCTTAACCTATTTTCCTACTACAGAAACCTTCCCTCAGTAGTCAACAACTAGAGATTTTAACCATGTAAGTATCCCCAAATTCACACCACGAACGATGAGTCAGCAAGGGTAAAGCCTAGCTCTGGGATGTGCCATTCCTAGGCTGTGGAGCACCCTCCCCTCCGCTGAGGCTAGAAAGTGGTCTGCTTCCTCCGTCTGGCAGGTTACCATGTGCAGGCACTTTCCCGGGTTGCTTCCTGTTCTCAAACAAGGTTCTTAGCAGTGACTCACTCGATCTAAGAAATATGATCCTGCCAGTTTACTGGAACTCTCACCCATTGCCCTGTCCATAACCTGCAATGCATGATGCAAGACAATGCAAAACGGGAAAGGGAAGGCAGTCAGAACCCGGGCTTTCTCCAGAGGCCTGTTTGTACTGTGGTCAACGTGAACTCACAAAGGACACTTAGTTCCTTTCCAAACAGTGGGTAAGACCACCTGCTGTGGAACACACACACACACACACACACACACACACACACACACACACACACAGCTCTCACTTTTCCATGAGAAGCTCCACACTTGGCTCTCAAGAGTTACAGCCTGGGTGTGCTAGAGCAGACAGAGCAGGACTAGGGTTTTACACCCCAAAAGGGTGGCTGCTACTCTATCAGGAGAACAGCTCATGTGACAAGCAATCTTTAGGGTAAGGGAAAGCACTCGAGGAAGACTTCGGTTACCGTAAGAACGGCATGCACACCTCACCACCAAAAGAACCTTCAGGAAGGAGCACCCCTTCCCTCTTCCTAGCCTACTGCACCTCACCGAGTGACGGACACAAGCCCAGCCGCCAGGACAGGCGGCCGAGGGCCTTGCTGTCTCCACCCTGGACCTCTCTGACAGTCAGAGGCTCGTCACAGAAACTCTGAGGCTTCTAAACTAGTTGTGTTTTCCTTTATCTTCTTTTAGGGCCCCTAACCTAAATTATTTAGCTTAACCTTCAAGATCACTTACAGATCTAGCCACTTAACAAGGAGTTAAAAATAGCAACAAGCAGGCTTGAGGGATGGGTAGGAACCAAATGTTGCAGTCAGACACAAAGCCTGGTATCTTGAGACACGTCTGTGGTAGTAAGGGATTTAAGATATGAATATAACATACTGAATTATATTTAGGCAACACTCAGAAAGCCTTTTTGATGAACTGCAGGCACCTTGAGGGTACTTTCCAAAGGGTCTGCTAACTTTCTTTTCAACTGTGAACTGTTTGGAGCATGAATTGCTTTGTTTTTTTGAGAAAGGGCTTTTCTTTTTCTGGGTAGCCCTGGCTGTTCTGGAACTCGCTCTGTAGACCAGACTGGCCTCAAACTCACAGAGATCCTCCTGCCTCTACCTCCCGAGTGCTGGGATTAAAGATAGATGCCACCACTACCCAGCAAGTATGAATTGTTTTTTGGCTCTATAAAATACAAGGGACACCTCACCAATTTGCATACGGTCTCTGTATGAGGGCATGCATCCTCTGTGTCTGACAGCAAGAGCAAGCAGGATTTCTTGACTAGGCACTAATTGCTAAAACTCTGTCAAAAAGTGGTATGTGTGTGTGGGGGGGGGGGTCGAGCAGCTTTGGTCCCAGCACTTGGGAGGTAGAGGTAGGATGATCTCTGTGAGTTCAAGGCCAGCCTGGTCTATAAAGTGAGTGAGTTCTAGGACAGTCAGGGCTATACAGAGAAATTCTGTCTTGAAAAACAAACAAAAAAAGGTAGTCATAAAGGTGGTGGTCAAGACCAGAAAGCTTAGTGTCCAGTCTGATCTAAGCGGAGCATTAGTCTGTGCACACATTGAACACATACATACACAAGTCACATCTAAAGTGCCGGGGACACAGAATAAACAAGCCGTCTCTGACTCAAGTTCTGAGACATGATGAGCAGCATGAGAGACCTCAGGCAGGTTAACTACACTGCCTAAGAATGACACACATGGTGAACACCTACTGAACACACCAGTCTTTCACGGGGGGGCCATGGGCGTGTGGCATTGTTAAGGACCCATTTTCAGTTTGTACAGTAAGGGGCTGAAGTCCTGGTCTGCTGTGTGAGTCACCAGAAAGATGACCGGGTTCTGACCCTACCTGGGACTGGGAACCAATGATTTATAGAAACCTTCAGCCTTTGTTTCTGCACCTATAAAGACTGAAGATTCCTAAAATGCATTCCTCTAAGTGTTTCTGCTTTTGTGATACACATTATACAACTGAAAGTTAATTTTTAATGTAAAAATATACATTAATTTTAAGTACTTAGAGAATGTGCTAAGTAACTCTAAGAGAAATATAACGTGAGTAATAAGTAATGTTATTGTTAGATACAATTACAAAATAACATAATAAATTTAATTCTAAGCATGTATTTAATCCAATTTGCTCAAATATTATTTTAACATATAACAAAAATTACTGATATGAAAAGTGACAAACACACTCAGGCATATGACAATAAATCTTACCCAACAAGACAGCATGAAATGTGTGTGGTGTGTGGACATTCCCTTCCAAACACTCCAGGTATCTGTCAGCAATTATCTCAAAGAGCCGCTGTGACTCTGAATCACAAAGAGGGCTCTTAATGACTAGTTTGATGGTATCCTATGCTCTGTTCCAAATAAAGACATGAATTAACCCTGGGCTTGGAAATTATATTTCAACTACTTTCTGATGGGTACATTTGAAAATGCATTATGGCACTCATTGTTGCTGATTGCTATGGGAGCAATTTGAGTCTCTTAAAGGATTATTAGGGGATGGAGAGACCAATGGTTAAGAGTACTCTCTGCTCTTCCAGATAAGCCAGGTCCTGTTCCAGAACCCACATGGCAGCTCACATCTGTCTGTAACTTCATTCCCAGGGAGTCTGATGCCCTCTTCTAACTCTGAAGATGTCAGGCATGCATGTGGTACACAGACATACATACAAGTAAAAACGCCCATAAATATGAAAATAAACTGAAAAAAGGAGTATTAAAGTATGTAAGTTTCACTTTCTTAAAATTAATGTAGACATCCTCTCCTTAATGTTAATCTTTTAATTAAGCCCACTATATAGTTGTGTGAGGCACCGGTCACACTGAGCTTTGAAAATGGAAGGTTACGCCAGGCGGTAACCTTTTAGTCCCAGCAATCGGTAGGCAGAGGCAGGCAGATCTCTGTGTGTTCAAGGTCAGCCTTGTCTACAGAGGGAGTTCCAGGACAGGCTCTGAAGCTACACAGAGAAACCCTGTCTCAAAAAAGCAAAAATGAAACAAAACAAAAAAAAAAGAAAGAAAACGGAAGGTTACAATTGTGGATAGTCTAAGTCCAGATAAAGTAGGCATTACATTGCAACAATAGCAGCCACGACTCATCACATACTTTCTACGTGCTCAAAACATGTGTTCCAAAACTTGTGCCGCCTCGTCTGGGTGCACAGCAATCCACCAAGTGGGCAGTGTGTCGTCGTCACTCTGGAGTAAGGAAACGGAAGCACAAAGAGCTTTAGTGCTTTTGCCAGCAAACATGGAACAGTGACAGTGAGATCCGAAGCCGGCGAGAGCGGACAGTGAGTTATCTATCGCCCACTCTAGGACACAGGCTTGAACTCTCCAGCCCCTTCTTTGGGGAGGCTGCTTGGACAGCTTGGAAGAACTGAGCACCTTTGCTATTAACCATGTAGATGACAGTGCCCACCCACTTCACCTCACAGTGGGTTCTAACACAACAGAGAGCCAAGATAATGCCAGTCTTCCCAGAATGATCTTTTATATGGAAAAGGCATGTAAATGCATCTTTAAAATGTAAAGGAGAAGGTCAGGGTGTGGCAGCAACACTGCTAATAAGTCTATCTCCTCTAGCAAATGTCAGTGACTGTGAAAGAAACCACATTTCAGGTTACATTCCCGGTCTAGCCACTGCACAACTAGAAGGTGAGGCCATAACTTGTTTATGGCAACACAGTGGCCAATGTAAACGCCCTTCAGCTGTGCCATCCCTCTTGCAGGAGCCCAGGAGGTTTTCTTTTCTCCACTGCACTGCAGACTTTAAAGGCCAAAGTTATTTTTGAAGTGATATTACAAAACAATACTTTAAAGCCTTCAAAGGAGGGGTGGGGTGAGGAGAGGACAAGGAGATGGGTTTGCTCTGTGTGCATTTGCATTTAGCCTTCCTCCAAATTCACTGCTGATCTCCAAACTTCTCTATCCATTTATTTGGACAGGACCCTAGGTTTCTAGGCCAGAATCCCTGAGTAAGAAATTCTGTGCAAGTGAAGAGACAGGCCCATTTAACCATAGGGATCCAGAGCCTGGGCAATGGGTGGCCTGTGTTGGGCTGAAGTACAGGAAAGGCCCGTCTACAGGTTGGCTTTCAGTCTCAGCAGACTTAGTTTCCAACCAGGCTCCACATACTAAAGTCAATGAGTGCATAAGGAAGATACAGGAAAAGAGGACACTTAAGGCGAAGAATTCAACAGAGCAAAGGGGTCTGAGCTCTGCTGCAGCTGCTAAGGGAGGCGGGATTTGGTTTTCAAGTGGCCAATGGAAACCTCCCACTACACATCCAAATGCTCCTGAGAAAGACAGATATGACAACGGTAGCTACGACTTGTGGATTATCTGCATCCCAGAGCCCACACTGAAGTATTTTACTGACACATCACAGACACGATGATCCACAATGAAACCCACCGTAAGTCTCTCTGCAAGGCCTCTCTCCTTTACTGAAAGAAAGCTCCTTCCATTCAGGGGGTAAAAGGATAGTGCCCAACAAAAGTAGTTTGTTAAAGCACATAGCACCATGCTCAGGGCTCGGGAGAGCCCAGGACACTGCAACTGCCATCATGCCACATCTGCTTGTTTGGGGGCCCTTCTGCCAAGCCTACAGAAGTCAGAGAGTTCATGTGTTTCTCTTTCTTGGGTAAATACTAATAATCAGTGTGACTGGACGCCCATCACCTCACCCACCCCACCCGACCAGGTTAACTTTCTCACCACATTAGATGCTCATGTTTGCTCTGTTCTCAGCTTTACTAAGGGGCCTCTAAAATGAAAACATGAATCTACAGGCTAGAAAATCCAAAAACCCGTGAAAATGCTACCCCCTTCTAGACACCCTAAGCACGCCAAGCAGAAGTGGTATTTTCTCAGGTGTTGTCAAAGCCTCATGGTTTGTATTGAGTACCAAGCTCTTAGATGGTAGAGGCTCCCTCCTCCTGCTTACTAAGCAAATGCCAAGCACCATAAGAATGTACACCCCAGCAGAAGAGACACCATTACTGAAGTCACACTAATCATATAAAACACACCCTGTAATTCAGCAGTACAAAGAGCCAAAGGGTTAGAGTAACTAGAGAGAGCAATTTCAGAAATTCTTGTCCTTCAAAGACAGTTGCTACACTATCTTGAGAGATTACAGCAAATCTTCATGCTTAGGCCTCATGCATATTTGTGCAATGAGTAAGTACACATTATTTAGTCTCAGAATCCAGTATTTTCATTGTAAACCAGGAGGTCTGAGGTTATAGTTCAAATGACCAAAGTAACAAAGCACACTTTTCGTATCATCTGTGACCGAATGCCAGTCACAGAAAAATTACTTAACTCTATTCCTATAGCAATATTTGAACATTACTGAGTACAAGATGTATTGCATCGTAAGAATATTAGCATACACCCTTTCACCACACACCTTTCAAGATAAAAACAATTATCTTTTGGGAGGCGTAGTTTATGCTGCTAGAGACTGAGCCTCAGGCCTTGTGCAATCGAGATAAGCACTCTACTATTCCCAAACTAGATTTCCAGCCTTAATACTGGCTTTTAAAAGAGAACAAACGTGACAGTATCTTGAAATGTCCACTAAGAGAATTCTGCGATCTGGATGCTGGCACATGCTGCAGACCTGGAATCTCAGAGGCCGACGACTTGGTGAGCTTAAGACCATCCTGGACTTCACAGAGCATTCAAGCCTAACTTTGCCACCATGGCAAGTCTGTTCAAAAAGCAAAAGTCAAACAGTTGCAATCCAGGGATACAGTGAAAGTAAATTACTCCATCAATCTATAATCCTGACTAAGTGTGTTTTATTCGAGGACACTAGCTAGCTATTTCCTTCATGATGGTCAAAAAGGGTGAGTTTGCACCCACAGACTAGCTTTTTTCTTAAGCACTAAGCTATCCCCTTGGCATCACTATTACCATGGCATCACCATTAACTTGGTATCTATTCAGCCATTCACAGCTTTTCTCACTCTAACCTCAGTATTCAGACATCAAGTAAAAAGAACACGAGGAAAGAAATATGGGCTGTGTTTCTAAGTCTTTCTCTTTATATACTAAACAAGAATAATATTAAATAACCTCTTTGGGGTCACCTCCTTGCAGCTCTAGACCCCTGGACCAGTGTTCCAACATACCAGGCAACACTGCCCTCAGTGGGAAAGGATCTGGGCCAGTTGCTCTTCTTGAATCAAGACAATGTGCCTGGTCTCTAGAGCTATCTGTAGTCTCTCTTTCTTTGCCTCCATTCCATGAGAATGAGAGGCACACGCAGTTCACTCTGTGAGGAGATGGTGAGTTTCCCTACAAACAAGGCAGAAAATGTCCATCAGTGTTCTGCAGCCAGGAGTCTTCTAAGTACAGGAGGCAGAGGGTGGGGCCTGCTGGTAGCTGCTATACTATAGGTTTGTTCTCTACAGAGAAGCTGGGTACAGGAGCAAACACCGCCCCTTTGGCAGAACTCTTTGGAACTCTGTAAAGAGGCCTTCACAATCTGGCCGCTAACAAAAGAAAATACTTTCACCTTTCAAGAAGGACAGAATGAAAAGGGAGTGAAGCAGTAAACCAGGAGCCAGAAAGCAGGGACTAGGGACATGCAAATTCCCCGTTCTGTCACATGCATGCAGTGTGATCCTGGAAAGTAGCTTAACCACTCCAAATAGCTTTTGTCATCTATAATGGGATATCTACATAGACTCATTATTTTTGTCATATGACATGTGTCTGTGGACATGTGCATGCATGCATGGTGCATGCGTGGAAGACTGCTTGCAGGCTCTCTCCCTCTACCTTTACATGCGTTCTAGAGACTGAACTCATGATGTCAGGCTCACACAGCAAGTGCTTTACTTTCCCACTGAGCCATCTTGCCAGCTTCTATTAGACTTTTGTTAAGAACATGTCTAGGGGCTGGTACTAGCAGGGTTTCAACAAACAGTTTAATCTCCTCCATCCCGGAAACTGCCATGCTGCAGTGTGGTTGTTCATCCATATCCGAGGATTTCACACTGCAGATTCAACCGAAAGGACTCTGTACCACACATGCTGTATTATCCCCTAACTCTTTATGGGCATTTACATTTCATTAGGTAGTGTCATCAGGGAGTTAAGGATGACTTACAGAATAAGAAAGGATGTGTATAGAGTATGCATATTTTACAAGGAGGATCTGAACATCTGAGGAGTTTAGTACCCACAGGTTCTAGAACTACACGCTCTGAGACACTGAGGGACACCAGAGATTGACTATCTTCACAGGGAGGGGTGAGCTGGTAACAAATCCAAGAGTGTCTCCTTTCTCTACTTTTGTCTTTTGCAGTGCACACACCGATATTTTTCAGCCATGGCCTTATCATGTGAACTCTGAACAACTAAAGCACACAAGACACAGGCCTCTTGAGCTCTGGACTTCCTGCAGGTGGGGACAGAAGAAAGCCAGGGTTTTCCCTAGAGCAGCCATTATGACCCACATCCGGAGATAAAGGACTGTACTAGTCAAGGTCAATGAGAAGAGTGTTAAGGTGCACAGTCGCCTCCCCCCACATTCCAGGGAGCGGCCCCTGGATTAGTCAGAACCAACTGCTTCAAACCAGGTAGACATTTTCTAGTGACATGTGAAACTTTTTCTAGGGAAGGCCTGCTCTCAGCCTGGGAACCACTAGGTACATAAGAGCTGGTGCAGGACCCCCAAGCCAGCAGCACACCATAAAGCAGATCTTTAAAAGGTATCTTTTCATGTATGTTTCACTGTTTCATTGGGAATTGCCAGCAACAAAAACAAAACCCTCAAAACTTGGCACTTTTTCCTACTACAGATAAAATGGCATGTTTACCTTGGGTGATTTTCATTACCAGGACTTTAATGGTTTAACAACAAAATGTCATGATTTTCCAATACTCTCTATTCATGGAAACAATATTCCGTGGCTTACCAGGCAAGGTGAGCTCAAGCTGAAGGAGGAGGAGCGTACTGAGTTTAAGACCAGTTTAAGGCCAGTGTGGGCTAGTGTAAAATCCTCTCTCGAGAAAAAAACAAAACAAAAAACAAACAAATGCCTGGCCCAGTACAGCAGAACAGACAACAGAGTCCAATCCTGGTCACCCCTAAGAACAGCAGCAGAACAGACAACAGAGTCCAATCCTGGTCACCCCTAAGAGCAGCAGAACAGACAACAGAGTCCAATCCTGGTCACCCCTAAGAACAGCAGAACAGACAACAGAGTCCAATCCTGGTCACCCCTAAGAACAGCAGAACAGACAACAGAGTCCAATCCTGGTCACCCCTAAGAGCAGCAGAACAGACAACAGAGTCCAATCCTGGTCACCCCTAAGAGCAGCAGAACAGACAACAGAGTCCAATCCTGGTCACCCCTAAGAACAGCAGAACAGACAACAGAGTCCAATCCTGGTCACCCCTAAGAGCAGCAGAACAGACAACAGAGTCCAATCCTGGTCACCCCTAAGAACAGCAGAACAGACAACAGAGTCCAATCCTGGTCACCCCTAAGAACAGCAGAACAGACAACAGAGTCCAATCCTGGTCACCCCTAAGAACAGCAGCAGCAGCAGCAGCAGTGCCACTGGTGGCCACAGCTCTGCAAGGCTCTGCTCCCAGCAGGCACCAACCACAACCACTTCCCCTCCAACTTAATGCCTTGGGCTGGGCAGAGGTTGGGTTCTGAACCATGAGCAATCTACAAATTCCCACTAAGACAGCAAAAGACCATCAGATCTGACAGAGGAAAATTCCAATGCCCCCTTTCAGTGGGCCAGTCACTTAAAGACACAATCAACACAGCCCCCCAACATCCATGTCCTTCCTCTCAACAAACATAAAAATAAGATACCATTTTTCAAAACCTTAAAGCAGTAGGAGTCAAACTTTTACTAGCTCCCTGTCAGGTGACTAAATATATCCCAACAAGCAGCTATTGGCATGGCTGGGGTGGAGCCCAACCAGCTATGCTGGGCAGCATTGAGCAGAAGCAAGAGTGAGGGCAGAGGTGTGCAAAGACCATACAGGGCAGCCACAGAGGGCACACCCAGTAGGCCCCCACCCCACCCCTCATGTACCCACAAGCAGAGTCAGCCTGCCTCTAGCTCCAAATGAGTGAATCAGAAAACAGCTCTGCAATATAAGTACTGATCACTGTGGCCAGGATTATACAGCTGCCTGTAACAGCCAGGCACAATTCAAAAGTTAGTTCAGGTAGAGTTTTCTTTGGAGAAAGAGAACAAAGCACAGGAATGAAAAGTGTCCAGGAATCCACATTCAACACCCAGCCCAGCATGAGCATTCCATTCTCCTCCTGTGTCTGGAGACAGGGTTCTACACTGCAGGCCAGACTGTCCTCCAACTGCCAGCAATCCTCCTCAGGAGGCTGCAATTGCGGAATGACCCACCACACTCCTGGCTCTCACTGAGTCTGTGTGGGGGTATATGCTAGTGCATGCAGGTGCCAGGGAGGTCAGAGGCTCAGGCCCTATGGAGCTAGAGTTATAGACAGTTGTAAACCTCCCGACTTGGGTGCTGGGAACGGAATTCGGATCCACTCTTAATTCTTGAGCCAGCTTTCTAGGCCGCAGACAGCCTTTTTATATATGCCATTCCTCAACGACCTCACCGCAGGTTATCCACACTCCTGACTGGTTCTTTTGGGGAAAGCCTGTTGATTACAAGGTCATCATCAAAATCAAAAGGCCATATTTACTGCATTTTAAACATTCTCCAACTTAACTTGGAACACAGGCTGTGAACAAACACAAGAGCTTTTCACAACTAAGGCATTCTAACCAGCTTTTCTAAATCACTGCCCACAGGATACTTCCAATTTGCACAGGCACTGAGTTAGGTCTCTAAGGTACCAGCTCTCAATCCTCACTGCAACTGGAATCCAGTGGGATGCCTTAAGCACAGCACTAATGCCTAAAGCCACCCCTAGAGATGGACCAGATACAGAATGCGGCCTGGGCATCAATATCTGAAATGCTGGAAATGAATCTAATAAACAAAAGTTTGAAGTGTTAAAAGTCAAAATAACTCGGGCTGGAGAGATGGCTCAGCGGTTAAGAGCATTGACTGTTCTTCCGGAGGTCCTGAGTTCAATTCCCGGCAACCACATGGTGGCTCACAACCACCTTGAATCAGATCTGGTGCCTTCCGCTGGCATGGCATGCAGGCAGAAGACTGTGTGTATACACAATAAATAAATAAAATATTAAAAATAAATACTTTCTTTAAAAAAAAAGTCAAAATAACTCAGTGTTCCACGATCTGAAATGTGATATATGCCCACACAATGGAATAGTACTCAGCAGTATAAAGGAATGGTGACACAGGATGTGTCATAAAAAGGTCAGTCTTCAAAGCACCATGCCACGCCATTTCTATGAAATGTCTAGCATGGACAAATCCAGAAGGAAAAACAAATACCCAAGTGGTTATCAGATGCCTGGGGAACTGGAGAAAAATAAGTAGGAGGTGGCTACTATCGAGCCTGGGGCTTCTTTTAAGAGTGATAAAATTAATTATAGTGATGATATGGAACTATAAACAAACCGGACTACTGAATGGGCTTTAAATACGTGAATGGTATGGCGGGTAGATTGTATTTCATTTAAACAGATCCTTCAGGAGGCAGCTGTTGCTGGATTGTAACCATGTCTAAGAGTGAGCCTGTCATCAAAACGGCCTGGATAAGATGAGCTAGGTGCTCAGAGTTCTGCTTAGGCCCTGGATTTGTCTTCACACTACAATGGTCTGGGGAAAATATGCTTGCACTCTAGTACAGAAGGACTTTCACAGTCGGGGAGGTAAGCTCAGTGGTGGACTTTGGGCCTAGCATGTGCAAGGACCTGATCCCCAATACCCCAACCATCCAGTCTCTCAACAAAGAATTCAAACACAAGGCTTTGTGACGTCAGTGTTACTGTTCATATGCTAGAAAGATGACAGATTAGAATTGTAATGCTTCCCGACAGTGGATTCATCGAAATTCTTTTTTTTTTTAATAATTTAACTTTATGTGCATTGGTGTGAAGGTATCAGATTCCCTGGAACTGAAGTAACAGACAGTTGTGAGCAGCCATGTGGATGCTGGGAAGTGAACCGGGGTCATCTGAAGAGCAGCCAGTGCTCTTAACTGCTGAGCCATCTCTCCAGCCCTTCAAAATTCTTAATATTATTAAAGTAAAGGCATATACTGAGAAACCCAATTTAGGATTTTGTTTAAGGTTTTGAACTCCAGTTTAGGATTTTGTTTTGGTTTTCTTAGGGACAAACTCTCATAAGAATGCATTTGTTTCTCCATAAACTTTTTTTTTTTTTATTTGTTGTGTATGCAGCCTGCATGCCAGGGAGGGCACCAGATCTCATTCAAGGTGATTGTGAGCCACCATGTGGTTGCTGGGAATTGAACTCAGGACCTCTGGAAGAACAGTCAGTGCTCTTAACTTTTGAGCCATCTCTCCAGCCCCGTTTCTCCATAAACTTAAACCCACATTTTTGCTTTCCTGTCTATAAAACATACCATTGCCAACTGTCCAAGTCTTGGTTTAGTACCTTCAAGCCCTTTTTGCTAAATGTTGTTGGCACTTACAACAATGAAATTTCAATACCTCCTGGAGATCACATTATCAAAACGGTCCTTTAACAGCCACGGATGGAGAAAAGCAGGGTAACCACTGACTACTCCTAGCAAGTTGCCTCCACCCTGAGTTCAGCACATGCAGAAGTGGGTGACCCAGTCAAGTATCTAGCCTCACATGCACGAAATCCAGGTAGATCATCCACAAACCCCTGAAGAGCCTGAAGCGTATTTAATCCGGACAAATCAGACAATAATCCCTAACAAGACTTAACAGGAAAGATCAGGAAACAGAGTAGTTTACCTCCAAATGTACTAGTCCCAAAGCTACAGGTACACCAAATAGGCTTGAGCTCTCAATGCTGGTTTCAATGGACAGGCACCGAGACAGGGGATCAGGGTTCAGTTTGAGCTAACAGGTTTCTGCTAGCTGTTTTCAACTCACTGTCCCCCAAATCCAGTTTCCATCAAACTAGTTCAATCCTGTTGGCCACACTGTACAACATCCCCTACTTATTAAATGGAATTTTGATCATCACCCCAAAATAAACACAGGAGAGTGTAAACAAAGGCTAAGATATGGGCAGTTGAAAGATTTAATTAAGAAAAAGGAAAAATGGTCACTGGAAAATGTGAAGCACTCTGGGATGTTGCTTTAAAAATGATAATTACAGGAAAAAACATCCTGCCTCTCCAAATGAAAGCCGCCTGCTTCTGTGTCTTCCTGGACAGGACCACAGGCACCATCCCATTGCCGGTTTCCTCGCACTTGCTGTCTCGAAGGATCGCTCCCTCCCAATGGTTATTAACGTCCTTGGTAAGAGGGGACAGTGCAGTCTCCCTCCCTGGTTGGCTTTTTGTTGTTGGTTGTTGCTTTTTTAATCTACCCACTTGAAGCTTTGTGGCCCTGCTTCACGTTCCCTTTGGTCCAGTTTGGAAGTGGAGATTCAGAACCCTAGGAGTCAGGCTAAGTTTCAATTCTATCTTCAACATGAAACATTTGGAGGAGTCGTCTTGGGCTCTCTCCTAACCTGAAAACTGAAGATAAAAAATGTTCCCCATGGGGGTACTGAGAAATTATACATCTGAGGCAATTACCATATTGCTCGGCTTGCAAAGGAGTATCCACTTACTTACCTACTATCTAGTTAGTATCTAAGTTCCAAATTCTTTCTACATCCTCAAGCTAACCCTGGTTCAAGGAAAAATTAAGAAGGATGGATTTATGAAAACCTTTTAAATATGCTCACTCACAATGAAGGAAACATCCAGAAATAAGTGTAACTGCTCAAGTGCTCCTTTCTCCTGCAGCTTTGCTGAGCACAACTCATCATAAATAAAAATAAACACTAAAAAGAATCATGTACCTGGCTTTCAACTCTCCCTGGTAATCCTAAATAGAGGATGGTTCCCCCAGCATTGCTTTTAAGGGCCCAAGTAATATAAATGCAATTTCAAAATGGTCCTAGTTATTTTTTTAGTTATTTATTATTTTATTCATGTCCATTGTGTTTTTGCCTGCATGTATGTTCGTATGAGGGTGTTGGATACCCTGGAACTGTAGTTACAGACAGTTGTGAGCTGTCATGTGGATGCTGGGAATTGAACCTGTGTCCTCTGGAAGAGCAGCCAGTGCTCTTAACCACTGAGCCATATCCCCAGCTCTGGCCCTAGCTATTTTTAAGGCAGAAAGACTGAAGTAATTGTGTGTTTATTAATCCACCTTCGGTTTCTGTAACATCTCAGAGACGTACCATATATCGAAAAAGTCAAGCTGATTTTGCTTAACAGTCATTCCAGAGGAAAGGCCTGTCCACTTTCTCTATGTTCGACTTTTAAAAATAATCCATCTGTCTCGTTCAATATCAACTTCATCTCTTGTCTTCAAAAGTATTTTATCTTTCCAAGACACCACTGAAAAGAGTAATGGATGATTTTTCCCCTGAGATGAAGAATCATTGAGCAGTTAAAACCATATCCTCCTCCAACAACACAACCATTTGCTCAAATCTGTAACTCAATTTAAATCCTTCTGGACTACCAAAAAATGATTTTAAGATGAATTATAATCTTCAATTATTTTTTTCAAAGTCGATGTCTGTAAATAACAAGAAATGTTGGCAAAAGAAAGCTTTCACATGAGGAGAAAGCCATACACCTGCCATTTTTGTACATGAAATGTTATGCTACATGTTACACAGAAAAGGGAGGAAACTTTAAAATCAAAGTTCGTTTGCATCGTGTATCCTGTGGCCAGACAAGCAGTCCTTTTGATTACTAATGAGGAACAGAAGATCAGACAGTACAGTTTACTTATTCATCCTAATGAAAACCAGGCTACAACCCCAATCATTTCTAGGGGAAAGTTCAAGGGAGGGAGTAGAATTAATGCATTGTCAGTAACTAAAAGCTTACATCAGGACCTTCGGGTCAGCGATTTAACATTTAAATTAACTTACCGTTTAACAAGTTACACATTCCCTTGAGCTAAATGTTTTCTTTTTCTAAAAACCCAAGTACGACACAATTTTTGGCAACATAAGCACTTACTTCTTTAAAAGTGCCTGAAGTATGACCAGAAACTGGTTTTCACTTACATAACAGCCTTCAAAACTTATCAACAAAGGGTTATGAAACGAAAGCGTCCCATCCTCTCTGTTCATAAAAGTTCTTAATATGTAAAGAAATCGTGGAGGCAAAAAAATCCCAAACAGCAAGAGAAAATGTATTAATGACACAAGGAGAGGGATAATAGCTAAACGCAAAACTTCATCATCAATATAAAAAGCAACAAATTCTAATCTACAACTCTTACCCTTGACGGCAAGGAACAGAATATCCTGCCTTACACATTCTGGGACTGCAATTCTGTAATGCTAAATCCAAAGACAAAGCCGCCCAGGGGAAAATAACAATTGCGCAACAGATCAACAGCTCCAACTTGTCCCTTGGCCCCAGAGCAGCGAGGTTTGCACGCTATAAAGCAGGAAAGGGCCAACCGAGGGCCTCTGTGACTGCCAACCGGCCGTTGTCACCCACCCGGAGGCCACTGCCACGCACACACGCAGCGTGGGGCCCCGCGAGTCACGGCGCTCAGCACACACAGGGCCCGCGCGCGGCCGCCCAGGACCTCTGAGCCCGCCCAGGTCCTCAAGCCCTCCCCTGACGTGAGGCCAACCCCGGATTCCCGGGGCCGAGGAAGCGCGCGCGCGGAGCCCTGTCCGCCGGTCGCCCGTCGGGGCGCCTGAGCACGAGGGTCACCCGGTGACTTTCTCTTCCGCCCCCAGAGGGCCGGGCTTTTCTAGATCAAGCCGGACTGGCTTGAGCCTACCTACGACGAGCTCTGGGGCTGAGGAAATCACAGACGGCCAAGGGGACGAGGCCCCCTCGCCCCCGCGCTGGAAGTCGCGGCCCGGGAAGGGAAGCAGGCTCCGGGGCGGTCGCCGAGGAGACCTCAGCTCCCCCCGAGCACGGCCCCGTGACTAGGCACATTTTTACCGGCACCGAATCTGGGGAACTACGCAAGCCCGGAAAGGGCCGGACTGCGCCGGCAAGGAAAGCCGGCGTCCGCCCCCTCCCGCCGCCTCTGAGCATCCGACCCAGCGAGGTGGTGGTATTGCCCTCTGCCCCCACGAAGCCCGAGCTTCCTCCACACCCCAACCCCAGTGCCCCCGGGGACCTCAGGCTCCGTCCCTACTCTCATCGCTGCCCCAACATCCCCCGTTGCCTTCCCGACCCGGCGGGGCAGCTCTCAGGTCCGGCCGTCGCAGTCTGGGTTCGGACTGCCCCTCCCTCCCGGGACCACTGTCCCCTCGAGCTCCTGCCCGCTTCCTGGCACAGCCGAGAAGCCCGAGGGCCGGGACAGCACCTGCTGGGGCTGTAGTCCTGGCGGCGGCAACTCCAAGTCCATCATGCTGAGGACGAACGCTGCACTGAGGATCCCCGACGGCGACGCGACGTTGGCTGCCGAGGTGCGGCGGCGGCAGGGACTCGACGGAGCTGCCGGGATCCAGCAGACAGCAGGCTCCCTTGAGTGTCCGGCCAGTCCCAGCCCGCTCCGCCCCCCCGCCCCCTGGGGGCGGAACCAGGACCTGGGGAAGTAAGGGCGGAGTGAAGGCTTGAGAAAGAGGCAAGGACTAGGGTCCGGGCGAGGGCCTGGGGGCGGGGCGAGGGCCTGGAGTCGTGCAAGGGTCCTGGGCAGCGAAAGGGTCTGAAGACCTCGCAAAGGGCGGAGCAAGAGCAAAGGGACACGCGGGGGGCCAGCGAGGCGGGGCAAGGGCCAGAGGGCTTGCCCTAGGGCGGGGCAAGGGTAAAGGAACCAGGCAGCGGCCAGAGGGGCGGGGCAAGGACCAGAGGGCTTACCCGAGGGCGGGGCAAGGGTAAAGGGACCAGGCAGGGGCCAGAGGGGCGGGGCAAAGGCCTGAGGGCTTCCGGCCAGAGTTCCCCTGTTCCCCTCGGCCTCCTCCGCTGCTGATCATCCTCTAGCGGTCCGGGCGTGGCCGAGTCTGGTGGGCTGTGGTCCCACGGGGGCGGAGTGCGGGCGAGAGGCCCTCCGCTGCCCAAGTCCTCCCTAGGACAGCTGTCCCTGGCTAGAGATTAGCAGCTGTTTGCTGAAGGTCGCTCGGGCTCTGGCGCTTTGAAGCAGTTTAAACAGTTGGGGCAAACACACCGGGAGCCCGTCCCGGGTGCTGCTATCGGAGCTGCGCCTCCCTGATTCGGATCCGCAGAACCTTGCCCGCTTTATCTCGCCCCACCGGCTGACTGTGGCGCCAGCCCGGGGGTGGGGGCTCTGGGCAGGGACTGGGGACTGTGCAGGCAGCCAACTGCTCTCTTGTCCCCCGGTCCCGCTCATGCTGGTTCAGGACAGCTCTGCCCCAGGGAGATGCGTCCACGCTGCAAACTCGTGCTCACTTAAGTGAACGCCCTCTTCTCTCACGTGCCGGCGGCTTGCGGCCAGAGCTGAAGGATTGTGCTGATCGCCCACCCAAAACAGACAGAAAGCAGCCACACACCAAATAGAATCCTTCACCGGTGTGGATCCTCATGACACGGTTTCCCCTCTTTTTTACTTTGGAACTTTGAGATAGGGTCTCATGAAACCTGGGTGGTTTTGGGTTGGTCTAGCAGAGGTTCTCAACCTTCCTAATGCTACGAACAATTAATACAGTTCCTCTTGTAACTCCAAACCACAAAATTGCTTTTGCTGCTACTTTATAACAGCAATTTTGCTGTTATGAATCACATGGTAAATATTTTATATGCAGGGTATCTAAAATGTGACCTCTGTGAAAGTCAGTCGACCCCCAAAGGGTTGTCAACCCATGGTTTGAGAACCACTCCGTTATGGGCCATGCCACTAGGTTCTGTTGGTCGAGGTGGTGATTGTTTTTACAACATCTATTCCCAAGCATACTTCCCTAGCCCTGAAAAAAAAATTCCAATCTATAAAACAGTTCGTAAAGGGCCTGAAAAAAAATCGAGGGATGTTCACTAATGTGCTAATTGTTGTTCTTTTGCTTCAAATGCTAGGATAAAGCTGGAAAGGGGTTCTGCGTGGGTGGAGGCCATGTCGAATCCCTTGGCCGGCGAGGGTGACCGAGGCGCGGGTCAAACACAACAGGCAGACAGAGCTTGAGTGACAAGTTTTATTAGAAAGGGGAGGGAGGGGGAAGGAAAGAGGTAAAGAGACACAGAGACACAGCGGGAGGACAGAAGAGGGAGACAGGAGCAGAAGGAGAGCAGAAAGAGCAGAGCAGCAAAGAGCAGAAAGAGAGCCTAAGTGGGCGGGGCTTGTCTTTTTTTTTTTTTCGAGACAGTATTTCTCTGTATTGTTTTTTGGAGCCTGCGGGGCCTGTCTTTTAAAGGGGTCCTTTGCACCTGTGTGCAGACTAGTACTCATGGAATCCTGGACTGACCAGGTGACAGGGGCAGGCCAGCATAATGCCTGAATCTTTTACATTCTCACCTTTACTTATTATTAAAAAGGTGAGGAGTTAGGCATGGCAGGTTAGGGAATAAGGATGTCAAGCTCTCAAGATTACTTCCTGATGATTTCGGGGCATTGACCATCTCTGGGGGACCTTGAGAAAGCTGGGGTGCTGCCACATCCTGGGGTAGCTGGTTGTTTCATCGCAGTCCAGACTGTATGGAACTCTCTGGACCTCTTAGACCTGGCAAGATATTGGAAAAGCAGAGAACAAAGTTTAGGAAATATTTTTTCTTTGGTCCTGGTACTTGAGGGGAGGAGGAGGATCATAAGATGAGGGAGAGGTTCCCCAGGGGGTTCCAAGATCAGGGAAGGGAGTCCCAGGACCAGGGAAAGGTTGAAGAATATTTATTTGGAGCCAGTCTGACCTGTTTGGGTGAATCCAATTAGGCTCCCCTGGAACTTACAAGAGTTCTTTGAGTTTGTGAAAACAAGTTTTAGACACATTAGCAGTATACTCATGTCAGAAACGATTTGGTAAAACACTGACACTTTTAAAACTGACAGATATCTTTAGAACAATGAAAAGCACCTTAATCTTGAGCTTGTAGTTAGAGTTATGATTGCATAGTGGCATAATATGGTGTTTAGTACTCTGTTGGAGTTGGATTAATAGCTTATCAGAACTTTATTGATTAATGTTAGGACTTTGAACAGTAACATAACGAGAAAGAAATCTGATAATTTGCATTTGTACACCTTAAGTTTGTTATACCTTAAAACATTTTTAGATTCATACATCTTAAGCATTTATGTTCTTACATAAACTTTATACCTTAAAACATCTTTTTTAAAAAAGGAATGATAAAAGTTACATTAAAATCTACCAGCCGTCAAACAGCATCAGAGTTCTTGAGAAGGATAAAATTTTACCTGAATTAATGATTAGAGAATGAGAGAGAGTTGCTATCTGGCCTCATATACAGCCACCTCCAAGGTCTTCTATAGTTGTTGAGGGCAGAGGCTTTAAGGACACCCACCTTCTGCTGATAGCGTGAGAACTGTGGATTATGTAGGAAGACTTGCCTACTGTTGGCCCAAGCAACGTGGAGAAAGTCAATTCTACTGTCCTCTTGTGCATGGTCCAAAGAGTCCTTTGCAGCAATTGAGGTGAAAGGCAGGATTTCTCAGTGGCTAGTGTTACCACTTTTTTTTTTTTTCTGGTTTTACGAGACAGGGTTTCTCTGTATTGTTTTGGAGGCTGTCGGTCCAGCCTGGCCTCGAACTCACAGAGATCTGCCTGCCTCTGCCTCCTGAGTGCTGGGATTAAAGGCATGTGCCACCACCGCCCGGCCTGTGTTACCACTTTTGTGGGTGGAGTTTCTTCAGTGTCCAGTCTTCTTGGAGGAAGTGCGGTGGGGCCAGCAGTTGGCCTGTCTCTCTGTTATGGAAAGGTTTTTAATAAAATATTTTAAATGCCATATTCTCTAGATCTCTGAGCATTTGAGGGCTGTCTGTTTAGTATATTTCAGCAGACAAAATTTGTCTTTAGTTACTTGCATTAAGCTAGGTGGCTAGGTAAAGCTTTATCCCTATAATTAATTTGTGTGTTTACAGACTAGTATAGCTACAATGACATTAGGGTAGGATCTGTCTGGACAACTGGATTGAAGCTGAGAGGCTGTGGAGAGATGTTTTACTCAGAGCTCTCCAGCCTGACTACAACTGGTTTTAACTTAGTAGGTTAGATTTACACCTGTAAAGGACAAAGAGAAAAATCCCCTTTTGTAATAGAAGCTTAACCTTTGTAAACAGCTTACAGGAAGGACTGAGTGGTGTAAATATTTTGTTAATTTGAAACAGACCTTTATAACCTTAAATGTTTATCATCATTTAAAGGTACATAACAATTTAGAAATATTTGAGACTTAGCACAGTTGAATTTAAGTTGCATACAGAGTTAGCTTATATTTTTAAACAGTAGCTACATGTATGCACACACATAGTTATATTAAACAGGACTGGCTAAAAGTAAGAAGAACCAGAGTGTGATTTCTGATTCTCATGTTGCAGCAAACAGACAGGACATTTAAAGAGACAGAGTAGACTTAAAACTGTCAGTGACAAGAAAGCAGATCCACTGCAGATGGAACAGGCAGGGTTTTTGTGTGAAATGTGTTCCCTACTGGGCCCTGGAAAGGCACACCATTCCACAAACAAGCCATGTGCAACAGAGCCAGTGAAAGAAGAAATTAGAGACAAAAAAAAAAAAGACAGAAGGTAAATGAATTACGTCTGTCAGGGTTTATCAGCAGAAGTTGACTAGACTGTCCCTCTGCCTAGGCTGAGGGAAAGAAGCAATCCATGAGTGAACAGGCCTACAGCTAGGCCACACGGTCAAGATGGCTGCTTCCATAAACACATTCCCATCTGACAGAAGTTAACAAACTGCCTCAGACCAGGCCACTGGGAGCAGCTGGCATCTGCATGGAGAAGAAACAGGGTAGAAGGCAGCAGAGATAGAACAATCAGGAGAGAGAGAGACATTTTGAACAGGACATTCCCAGGTGGAAGGCGATCCCTGCTCTGAGACAGGCTTAGCCATGACAGGAGGCATCAGGACACTGCTGTGACAGGCCGGAAAGTCTTAGCACGCTGGGAAGAGGAGGGAAACAGACAAGTGAAAAAGAGCAGAGGTCACACTCCCAACTATGGATCACTGGTAGAATGTAGGGTGACAATAAGCAGGCACACGGTTTGACATGGGGGACCCAGCTTCCATGAGAGAGGTAGAGAAGACCCAAAGCCTGTAATCTCCAGCATCCCAGAGACTAAGGGAGGATCAGATGCTAAAGGCACCAACTGATTTTGTGATCCATCGAGCACAAATCAGTGGTCAAGGCTCCCGGAGCAGGAGAGAGTCTTAACTCATGGAAGCATAGGCAGAGGTAGAAAGGAAGGGGCGGGCTTACCAGATATGGCAGTGGTGGATGGAAGAATCCGGAGATCCTTAGCTGGAAAAGTGACTGAGTTGAAGGTTACAGGGTCCTAGCATATCTAAGAATGCCACTGGCAGGAGCAAATGCCAGGAAAACCTGCCAAGTCATGTGCACCAAAATGTTGTTCTTTTGCTTCAAATAAAGCTAGAAGGGGGTCCTGCATATGTGTGTGGGGCATGGTGGATTCCATGGCTGGCGAGGGGGGGCGCTAGCTAGTCTACAGAGCGAGTTCCAGGACAGGCTCCAAAGCAATACAGAGAAAGCCTGCCTTGAAAAAAAAATAGATTGATAAAAACCTGTTCTGGGTCTAGGGGTCATTCAGAGATTCATCTGACCATTAACAGATTTTAACCAGAGGCTTTTATTGAGATCCTATCATCGGGTCTACACTCCTACACCTGAGACTGGGGATTTCCAAATGCAGTGCCCAGCCACCTCAGTTAGGGGTTTATAAAGGCAAAGAATACAAAGGTCCTCTCGTGAAAAAAAAAAAAAAAGCTTGTTTACAGAAGCAGAAATACCTGTAAAAAATTTTAACCCTTACCAGCCCTTTATAGTTGGAGATCTAATTTTGTTTTATAGTTGTCTAAAGCACAGAGATTTGAAACTTTTAAACATAGTTAGCCATCAACATAATGTTAGTCATCATAACCCCATCTACCCCAAGTTATACCCTGTGCCAACCCTAGACTGTGGTGGGTACCTAGTCATGCTAGGACTTAATCGCCACCATCTCAATAGCTCCTAAGTGGGAACTTACATATCTGGTTAAGATATTAACGATTCAGGGGCCAGATGTAATCAATAGCAGCAGGAGAGCTGAGAGCCCTGTGATGGCAGACAGCAGTCAATAGTCCGGAAGAACCTGGAAAAGAAAATGGGAGGAATTTACTTCTTCCTCGTAGGGCCTTTTCCCTCTGTGAGGTGTTTTTAAAGTTTGGCCAATTTGTCCCGATAATTCCTGAGTGGTTTGCAGAGAAGCAGTGGCTGTCTTCTAACTAGCTCTTATAACTTCATTAACCTGTTTTTTAAATCTATGTTCTGTCATGTGGCTTGGTTACCTTTCCTCTGTCCCGTATGTCTTACTTGTTCCGAGTCCTGCTGGTGTCTCACAAGTACCTAGACTCATCCCTCTGACTTTGTCTATCTGCCGGAAGTCCCACCTGTTCTAGATTCATCCCTCTGACTTTGAATATCTGCCGGAAGTCCCACCTATTCTAGACTCATACCTCTGACTTTGAATATCTGCTGGAAGTCCCACCTATTCTATATTCATCCCTCTGACTTTGAATATCTGCCGGAAGTCCCACCTATTCTCTCCTTCTTAGCTACTGGCCACTCAGCTTTGTATTACACCATTCACAGCAACACATTTTTACACAGTATATAAATATCCCACAACACTCTACCATGTTTTAAGGCTACCTCAACTAAAGAGTCAACTTATTCTAATTCTGCAATAGATTTTTCTAGTGAAATAAATCCTGGGCTATTTGATGTCCTAAGTTTTTGTAGTTGACATCAGACATTGCTGTGCTGATTGCCCCAAGAGTGGGTTATGGTGAGGAGCTGGAAAGATTTTCGAATACAAGTGCTCTCTCCATGCTACATCATCATATGCAAACATCTAGGGAAATAAGAAAGGAATACTAAGATACAAAATTTGGGGGGCTTGATGCATATGCCAAGTAGATAAGCAGGGATGCAATCCACGATCACATGCAAACCAAACAGTTTCAAACAGAAGTGAAGGAAGGGATGTCCACCTGACGAAGTGTGACCAGGAGTAGTGAGACGGCAATTTTGCATTTGCTCTCAAAGAAGAGTCTAGACATATACTCCATGGAAGAGTAGGTGGGGACGTAGACAACACATTATTAATTTACAGCCTACATCAATCTTATCTTTACTGAATCTTCTCAGGCCATGGTAAAGGCTCTCTTCTGCCGAAGAGTCATTGTCCCCTGTGACCTGCTGATGTATGTATCCAGGTGTGGACATGGTCTATCATGACGGAAGCTGGGGTGGTAAGGAAGATAAGGAATGGTCCCTTCCAGTGGGGTCCCAGTTTCCTTTAGACCTAACAGTCCAGCCTTTGGTTGAGGATAAGGGATAACACACTCTCTGCTGTAACTGCTTTTCACCTCAAATTAGAATGTCATTGTCAGAGCCCATGAAGGCTGGGATGCTAGCCAAAGTCCAAGGCTGGGGGGGCATTGGGACACTGGGGGGGGCAATCACCATGCAGTGAGGGGGCATTCACCTAAGTATCTGGTCTGCTGACCCAGCTGAAGAGACAGGGAGCATCACATTGGCTGCACTGGTTTACATCAGCTGTCACCAAGTCCAGGGCTCACGGCTGTCTGGAGCAGTTCGAACTTCACGGCTGATTCCTGGGTGGTGTCTGTCAGCCAAGTAGAAATCTGCTGGGACAGATATAAACTAAGGACAGAAGTTAAAGTTTAGGAGCTTAAAGGAAAATCTTACATTTAGAACTTACCCCTCAGGAATAAGCAGGAGGTGGGAAGCTTAGGCTGTTGATTGACAAGGGTGCTGGGGTCCATTTGACCTCTGACAGGTGACTCTAAGTCTCAACTCCCTGAAGCTTGGATTTAAAGTTTACAAAAAAAGATAAAAGTTTTAGATACATTAGCATTGCCACTGTTTGTAATCTGTACAGAAATCCACACTGTAGAAAAAAGCAACACCTTTGAATCATAGTAAAAGCTTTGGATCCCAAAAATGATTTTGAGTTAAAAACATTAACACTTGTTCCTCTGTCCAGGGGGCTGGGTTTATACAGATTGGACGGAGATGTTTTTAACACAAAGAGAAGCACCTTTTAGTCTATACTTAGAAAACAACCAAAGGAAAATTTAAAAATTGAGCTTGTGACTAAAACAGTAGTCAGTGTTTAACCAGGGTCAGACTAATAGTTTATCAAAACTCCATTGAATAATGTTAAAACTCTGAACCTTTGAAGTCTTAACAGCATATATTGTCTCTAAGGGTTTTTTTAAAGATTTATTTTATTATGTATATGGATGTTTTGTCTGCATGTACATCTAATCTGCACATCAGAAGAGGTCACTTGACCCTATGAGACTACAGTTAGAGATGGTTGTGAACTACCTTGTGGGTGCTGAGAATTGAACTCAGGACCTTTGAAAGAGCAGCTAGTGCTCTTAAGCACTGAGCCATCTCTGCAGCCCCATCTCTTAAGTTTTATTACTATTTTTTAATTATTTTCTCAGACCCTGACAACTTCCATAAACCTCAAACCATTTTTCATTCAAAGAGCATTCATTGCAAAGCAAGTTCTTTTGAATAGAGGAATAGTAAAAGTTACAGGCAAACCTATTTGTGATTTTTGCCTTTCTCACTAGCAAACCTAATAGCTCTAGAAAAAGCAAGACCTGATTTTCATATATGAAATTCATTGACCAGGCAACTGCTTCTCAACTGATAAAGATACAGTTAGCCATTAACACCATCAGAGTTCAGAGAAGGATAAATCTGAGCAACAAGTATAAACCAAACAGCCTCTGTATTGATAAAATGAGACTTACCAGCTAGCTACCTTAGGCCACTACTCTCAGTCTTGGTAACCTCCATGGAAGGAAGAGTGACTTCAGTCTCTAGTGGTCACACAGGCCAGCATTAACTCTCTGACTGCTGTACGGGGCAGTATCAGCCTTTGGCTACCATACCCAAAAGATCCCAAAGAATTTCCTGTAGGTTGTTTTTTTTGTTTGTTTGTTTTGTTTTTTTGAGACAGGGTTTCTCTGTGTAATAGCCCTAGCTGTCTTTGAACTAGCTCCATAGATCAGGCTGGCCTCGAACTCACAGAGATCCGCCTGCCTCTGCCTCCCCAAGTGCATGAATTAAAGGCATGACCACCGCCCAGCACATGGGGCATTTTGCTCAATGATTAGCATTACCACAATCCAGGTTGTGTCATCTTCTTTGGAGGAGACCTTAGAGCTGCCTCTAGGGGCTGGCTTTTGTTTTGTTTAACACTGGAAGCCTTTTGCACTAAACACTTTAAATGCCATGTTCAGCAGATCTCTGAAGAATTTTTGAAGGCTATCCATTAAGTACATTTGACTTTAAATAAACTTTACTTGTTTTTAGTTACTTGTTTTATACTTAGCCTTGAAAACATATACAGAAGGAGTCTTCTGTGAAGAGATACAGTGACCACAGCAACTCTTACAAAGAAAACATTTAATTGGAGCTGGCTTACAGTTCAGAGGTTCAGTCCGTTATCATCTTGCTGGGGAGCATGGCAGCATGCAGGCAGACATGGTGCTGGCTATATCTTCATCAGAAGGCAGCAGAAAGTCGACTACCTGTTACACAGAGTGAAGCTCAAGCCTCTTAAGAAGCCTCTGTTAGTATTCAGGCATTTACACTGCTCTCAGGGACCTAACAGGATACCTCATCAGCTGCAGCCACTAAGTAGAGACTCCCTGTGCACATGCGCTACATCCCCTCATAAAAGGCAAGACCTTCGCATCACCCTCCCTCTCTTTCCTTCATTCTCCCTCAGAGGCCATCTCTGTATCTCTCTCTCTGTGTATCTCTCTCTGTGTATCTCTCTCTGTATCTCTCTCTCTCTCTCTCTCTCTCTCTCTCTCACACACCCACACACACACACACACACACACACACACGCCCACACACACGCCCACCCGCCAAACCTCCCATGTGAGTACTGTTGTATGGTGTAACTGTGGTACCCTTGGCTCTACCCTGCCAAGGTTGCCTTCCTGCTGCCGCTAAGCTACCACATTGGCGCCCAGACTTCGGTAGGCTCTTCTGGTGGCGCCTCCTGTCCACAGGTGGTCTGAGGCACACCAGGGCCCTGTACCCAGCCTACCTGCAACAGGTTTATTTTCCAACTAACAGATGGCTGGGCTCTCCACCCAACACTGGCACAATTGGTAGTTCCCTTCTCCCAGTCAGCATAATCACTTCCCTGAATCTGTGGGAGTGACCACTGAGTGTCCGGCACCCCTCTGGTGTTCTTGGAAGCAGAAGCACCCCCAACCATGGTTTTTAAGGCCCCCTTGATTCTCTTCCCCAACACTCACCTCTGGCCATTTCCCATGAATAAGGTTTAATCTCTCTAGCATGGTTTCTTACCCTTTGGCCTCATTCACAAGCCCTGGTACCAGGTGACCACAACTCACTCAGGCTCTCAGCCCTTGGCCTCTGTTCTTGAGTGACAACATACTGAATAGCTTGTGACTACTCACTCTGATCCTTCATGGATTCCTGGGATGCTAGGGTATCCAGGCCTTGGGTCTTCTTTCCCTACCTCAGTCATGGGAATTGTGTCCTCGATCATACCTCTGGGCTCCCTCCTGGGATGCCTTTTGGAAAATCTCAGACCTCTACACCTAACCCAACTTAAGGGCTTGCAACTTAACCACTAAGAGCCTTATACCCCTTAGATAATCAACTCAAGTGGCCACCTACAGGCAGCCTGAATCCCAATATTATATGGGACTTCTGCAACTTTTGCCAGCAATTTCTCCTCTCCAACAACAGGCTGTTCTAACTGCCCAACCCTGGCACCCACTTTCACTCTCCCTGTTACCCGCTCCTGCTCCACTGTGGGACTCCCTCCATCTCTCCCTACCCAGCCCAACCCCACCAGTTCTCCCTTTGTGAGGTTGCCAGGGTGGATGGACTGGTTAAGGTACACGTCCCCTTTTTCTTAAGTGAAGTATTGGCAGAATGAATTCCCCAAACACTCAGCTAGCTCAGTTGGTAGAGCATTAAGACTCTTAATCTCAGGGTCATGGGTTTGGGCCCCATGTTGGGCACCAGATTGTTGGTGAAAGTATGTGAATCCATGAGAGCACAAGTAAAAGGATAGCAAAGACTTATTAGGAAACACAAGTAACAACAAGGAAGAGAGCCGCTTGGTCTCCCATTCTGCCCTGGGGGTCAATGGAAGCAGCAATCAGATGTCCAACTACCACACAAGAGAGCGAGCAACCCCTCCCCTTTACTTATAAGGGGTCACATTCACAGACAAGAAGCCACGCCCTAAGGTCAGTACCCCAAATCTATTGGTGGAATGAGTTCCCACAACACAGAACTCTCTCAAACAGAAACTGGGTCTTATACATCTAACTCTGCTTTCATTAAAGAATTCCAATGTATCACCCAATTGTATAGTCTCACCTTCCATAATACATATGATTCTAGTTAACAGCCTACTTCCTTAGAAATGCAGGTGAGTTTGGGAGCATGCTAGAGCACATGCAGATGAAATCCACCAAACTAAGGCAGCACACCTGGCTGGGACTGAGGCAGTGTCTGACCAGTCATAAGGAGTTGTTTGCCCTCTGGGTTTTCGGCATTTAGATTGGTATACCGTAAGAAGGCCTTTGTGAGGCATTCTAGGAACTGAGATGGCTTTTCCTGTTCGTCCTGGACAATTTCTTGGAGTTTCTCATAGCTAATTGGTTTAAGGACAGCCTTATGGAGACCAGCCAGGAGGCAAGTTATAAACTAATCTCTAGCTAGAATGCTCCCAGGCTATTGTAGGCCCATTGGGGATCCTGGTCAGACAGTTGCTTTGTTCTATATTTGTGAGTTCATTTTTCCATTGCACCCCTTAACTATTAAATAGACTTTTGTGGGTTCTTACTACATGGCTCCTTAAAAAAATACCCTTGTCAAAATGTCATAGGAACTTCACCTCGATTGGGGAAAGCTCCTGCCTCTGGCTATCTCAGGCTCTGGGCTCTCCCTAAGCAACTTCTTTCCATCTCAGATTCTAACTCACCTCTCCATGAACACCTACTCACTCCCTTACTCTGTCATCTCCGTTCCTTTTCTCCTTCAGAACTTTACCGACCACTCCCTATCTCAACTATGCACCAACCTTGGACCATCCCCAATCAACATTGGGGGTTGGGCCCTTCTCTTTCCTCCAGACCAATGTACCTCACTCCTTCCCCCTAAACAGCAGGACCCCTTCAAGGTTATTTTTTTAGATTTATTTATTTATTACATATACACCAGATTGAATTGTAGATGGTTGTGAGCCACCATGTGGTTGCTGGGAATTGAACTCAAGACCTCTGGAAGAGCAGTCAGTGCTCTTAACCTCTCAGCCATCTCTCCAGACCCATCAAGGTTATTTTTGTAAGCCTCACAGCTGCTAAGCCTGAGGGCATCCCTCTTTGGATTCACCTGGATGAGGCTTCACCCCACAGCTGTGCTCAATTCTACTGGATTGAGAACTCCACGGGCAAGAGGACACGTTCCTTCCTGACTGCCTCCTCGTTCTGTCTCTACTAATCACACCCTGCTTCATTAGTTTCTTCTCTATGTATCTCCAATGATATATATTCAAAAAATCTCTAATCAAACAACTAGTCAGCTGTTGTTACAGGACTAACAAACAACTAGTCAGCTGTTGTTACAGGACTAACAAACAACTAGTCAGCTGTTGTTAAAGGACTAACAAACAACTAGTCAGCTGTTGTTACAGGACTAACAAACAACTAGTCAGCTGTTGTTACAGGACTAACAAACAACTAGTCAGCTCTTGTTACAGGACTAACAAACAACTAGTCAGCTGTTGTTAAAGGACTAACAAACAACTAGTCAGCTCTTGTTACAGGACTAACAAACAACTAGTCAGCTCTTGTTACAGGACTAACAAACAACTAGTCAGCTCTTGTTACAGGACTAACAAACAACTAGTCAGCTGTTGTTACAGGAACTGTAATTTTTAAGGCTAGATAGATAGAATTAGGACACGTAAGTTACTAGTCACCTTATAAATAATCAAATTTCTTTAACATGTTCAGAACTGTGCTGGTAGTCATGCTAAATGTAATTCATTGACAAGGATGAGCTTTATTTAACCTTCTGTGGTAGTTTGAATGTAACTGGCCCCCATAATACCAAAGGGAGTGGCACTATTAGGAGGTATGGCCTTGTTAGAGTAGGTGTGTAACTGTGGGGGTGGGCTTTAAGGCTGTGGTAGTTTAACAGCAGCAGGAAGGAAACTTTGGGGGGTTAGAGTCAAGAGGCACCACAAAGTCACACCATACAACGGAACTCAACATGGGAGGTTTGTTGGGCGTGGGGGGTGCAGAGGCAACCCTTTGAGGGAGAATGGAAGGAAAGGGAGGAAGGGATGAGGAGGTCTTGCCTTTTATGAGGGGACGTAGCGCATATGCACAGGGAGTCTCTACTTAGTGACTGCAGCTGATGATGTTAGGTCCCTGAGAGCAGTGTAAATGCCTGAATACTAATTGCTTAATATAAAAAGGTGAGGAAATAGGAAGGGTGGCAAGTGAGGGAGGAATGAGGACATGGCTTTCTCAAGACTGCTTCCTATTTCCTCAGTTTATCCAAATAGCTAAAGTAACAAAGTTAGCCAAGACAAAGAGGCCAGATACACATTTTCTAGTCAGTTTCTCCTAGCCTGCATAGACCTTAGGTAAGGAGAGATATTCCACAGGTTACTGCCAAGCTGTTCAGGATACTGCGCTGCTGCATTGTAGTTAGACAGGGATATCTCAGTTCTTTCGGTGCTCATGGCTGTGGCCCTAGTTCCTTAGTTTCTCATCTCCTTCCCCATATTTTAAAGTTTTCTTTAGTCCTGTTTCATCCTCGTTCACTGTTTCTTGAGCCTCTGTTATTTTAGAGGCTCGAGAATCTAGACTCATACCATCTAGAATGATACCGCTCTCTGCCATCTCAGTCTAACACTCTGGTTGGATCTTATCTCATGACATTAAACCTCTGCTTGTCTTTTTAAAAAAGTCATTTTTTTAAGTCAGACGATGCAATTAGGGATGCCAGATAGTGGCTGTCAAGTTTGGATCAAACCTGGCCAGAGGCAAGTAGCCCTGAGCCAGAAGACCTGAGCTGGGTTGGGTTGTTGATTTGCTTTGTTTGTTTTGTTTGGAACAACCTCCTTCTTGGAGTTTGGAGTTTTTCTGTGGTTCCACTTCTGACAGCATTTCTGTCTTGGTCCTTTTAAATGGATTTCTCAGGCCTAGTCCTCTGGGCCCTGACCTGGTATATTCTATTAGCTCAAGTATGTATCTGGCCATAGCCCTCTGTTTAAAGTGAAAACTTGAACTTGCAAAATTACTATAGAAGAATCTTTGCATCTGCCAAACCACTGCCACTTGCAGATTCAATGAACTTCCAGAGCATTCAGGGACACACATGTTGGTTTAACCTATGACATTATTCTGAGATAAGCTAACATCCAGAAGACCTGTTATTTACACATATTTTAAAGAGGACAAAGAGTTACTTAACACAGTAACCAAAACCTCATTTATACTGCCTTAATTGAGGAATAAAAACTATTATATTTTTAATCATCATGGGCTTTTCAGTATTTTCTAGATTTTTTTTTACAAACCCTATTTTTATGATTTCCTCCCTCATCTGTT